GGGTATCATGTTTTGTGTTTAGAACAAACACTACTTCCCTGCTTGCTCTTCAGAGGTGGAGGGTACACTTACCAGCTTAGCCCCTCTCCTCCAATAACAATTACACAAAAGAGCATCACCAATAATCAATGGAAAGTAAACCCATTTATGCAGGCAAATTAGCAAACAGAAATCAGAGAAATTCTGCAGATTAAAAGCTAGCAAAGAATACAGAAGAGTAGCAGAGCTCCTTAGCTGGGAGGCAGATCAAATCTCAGCTCAAACCAGGAGAGAGAAAATGATCTCTCCCAGGGGAAGTACACTTTCACTAGTCTCTATGGCTGGAAACGTTAGAGGTCAGCTTGTGACCTCCAGTTTATATGACCAGGCCAACTCCCACACCTCTCCTGCCTCTGAGGGCTCCAGTCCACTATTAAAAGTTCTCTTTCTGCGTGGATAGCTATTTCTGCAACAAAATGAAACAAGTCCTTTAAAATGGCATACACTGGGGTGGATGGGTGGCACCATAGTGCATAAAGTGCCCCCACCCTTGAGACAGGAAGACTCATCTCCCTGAGTTCAAATCTGGCCTCAGACACATAATAGCTGTGTGACCCTGGGCAAGTAAGTCACTTCACCATGTTTGCCTCAGTTTCCTCATCTGTAAAATGGGGATGATAATACTATCTCCCTCACAGGGTTGCTGAGATAAAACGAGACAAAATTTGTAAAGCGTTTTGCCAACCTTAAGGCGATATATAAATACTAGCTATTAGCTAGCTCTTACTGTGAGAGAGATTCCTCAGAATGGCCAGGGGTTGGAGTCTTTTGGCATTGATATTTGAGCCGTGTGTGAGCTCGTGACACCTAAGGCACTGTGCCCCATAAGAGCATATCCTTTATTGTGGGGCTCAAATGCAGCTTTCCCCACGTCAGCAGAAAAAACCATATCCCTGTGTCAATTGCTCAGAGAGAGTGTAATATCTGAGCTGTCCACCAGTTCGAGTACTCTGCTAGAGCAGCCCATCCGTCCTTGTCAGTGCCCCTCAGGGGAACAAGTCCGGTAGCCTCCTGGCGAGGCGCTGGGAGCCCTGGCAGTTACCTGGGGAGTTCCACCTGCAAACACCTGGACTGAGCCCATCCTGTCTTAGGGGCTCTCACTGGAGGACCTGGAAAAGAACAATGTACATAGAATACTGAAATATAAAATCTGCTGACTGTCCCCCGACCCTGAGTCCCACTACCACCTGCCTCTATATAGCTACCATTTACCATATTAAGGAAAGGTCCATTTATCCATACGCTTTTTATTGTTTCTTAAGAGATGTATTTTTCAAAAGATTTTTCCATATCTATTATTTAATCATGTGATTTTGATTTTTATTAATATGGCCTATTATGGTATTAGTAAAAAAAACTATTATGGTTATGGTTTGTGTTATGTTAAACCACCCATTAATTCTTGGTATAAACCCAACTTGATCATCACATGCAAACATTTTGATATATAGTTTTAGCACCTGTAATATTGTACTTAAGATTTATGCATCAATATTTATCAGGGAAGTGGTCTGTGGTTTTCTTTCTCTGCTTTATTTCTCCCTGGTTTAGATTTCAGAGCCAAATTTGTATCATAGAAGGAATTTGGCAGATCTTTCTTTTCCTATTTTTGTAAACAATGTAATGTGGGAAATAATTGTCCTTTGAATACTTGATAGAATACCACTTTAGAAACTATCAAGCCCAGAAACTTTTTTGTTTGGGAATTCATGTATAGCTTGGTTAAATTTTTTTCTAAAATTGGTTCATTTAACATTTCTGTTTCCTGTTTTGTTAATCTGGGTATTTTGTAGTTTTGTAAATGTACATTCATTTCATCTAAATCATCTATCTTATCTGCGTATAAGAGGGCAAAATAATTTGTGATAATTTTCTATACTTCATCTTTGTTTGCTATGTATTCTTCTTTGTCATTTTTGAAAACAGCAATTTGGTTTTCCACTCTCTCTTTTATAATCAGATTAACTAAGTGCTTGTCTATTTTATTAGTCTTTTCTCCCCAAAAAACTCTATTCTTTTGCAATGTTCTGCATCTATTGTCTCCCACCTTCTCAGAGAAGGGACAGAAACACATTTTTTCTCTCTTCTCTGGGCCAAGCTTGATCATTATAACTACTAAAGCTGTATGGAATATATACTATCAGATTTGCTCGATGCATTGGTTAGCTGTGCTGAATTGCCTTTTCTTTTTTTTTCTTTCAAAATTCTTGTTTCTCCCTCTCTGGGGAAGGGTCAAAGAGAATTATATTTGGAAATGAAGATAATGCAAAAGCAAGCACATCAATATAAGCATTAAATATTTACACAGAGTTCGCAATTTGGGGTTCTTCCATTAAGTCTATTTTTTAAAAATCCAAGTGTGAAACATCATGTTGGACTTGTTCTGTCATTTTTCAGTCGTGTCCTACTCTCTGTGACCCCATTTGAGGTTTTCTTGGCAAAGATACTGGAGTGGTTTTTCATTTCTTTCTCCAGGTCATTTTACAGATGGGGAAACTGAGGCAAATAGGCTGAAGTGACTTACTCAGGTTCACACAGTTAGTAAGTGTCTGAGACCAGATGTGAACTGAGGAAGATGAGTCTTCCTGACTCCAGGCCCAGAACTCTGTGCACTATGGCGCCACCTAGTGCCCAATAAAACATTCTATTTCTTCTTACTGAATTTCATCTTAGTAGATTCAGCCCAAGGCATTAACCCAAGGAGATCTTCTTGAATCCTGACTACTATTTCATGGGATAGCTATCCCTTCCAGCTATGTCATTCAGTCATGTCGGACTCTTCCTGACTTCATGGACCGTAGCACGCCAGGCCCTTCTATGCTCCAGCTATTTGTCATTTGTGAATCTGATGAGTGTGTCATCGAGGCCTTTATACAAGTCAGAATAAAAATACTGGCTGGCACAAGACCAGGCATAGAGTCCTAGGGTCATCTTCTGGAGACCTTCGACAAAGCTGGCATGGAACCATGAAGACTGCTCCTTGGGTCCAGCCATCCCATCATTTCTGAATCCATCTAAGGTGGCCTGCATCTCTCCATCTTTTCCAGAGGTTTGTCGTCTCTGAGCTTTCCATTCTTATCGGCTACCTCCCATGACTACTGCCAGACTGACCTTCTCTATGCACAGGGCTAGTCTTGTAGATCAATTATTTAATAAGATTTTAGCAGCCAGCTGCCAAGTCAGCCCGAGGGAATTTCAAACCTTTCTCTCTAATATTCAAGGCCTTCCCTAATTTGGCACCTCGTTCACTTGCTGGTCTAACCACATACTTTGATACAACTACATATCTGGGCCGTGCTAAAATCCTACCTCCTCCAGGAAACCTTTCCAAATACCCTTTAATGCTAGTGCCTTCGAACTATTGATTATTTTCAATTCATCTCGCTTATATCTTGTTTGCATATGGATTGCATGGGGTCTCTCCTTTGAGCTATGAACCCCTTGAGAGCAGGGAAAGTCTTTTGCCTTTCTTTGTATCTGCAGCCTGATGTCATGGTCTTCTTGGAGAATGAAGGACAAACCACCTCAGAGCACGAGGCACAGAGCTGAGCACTCACTAATAAGGTGCTTAATCAGTGTTCATTCGTTCATTGACACATCTACTGCAGATTTCAACATGGACGTAGTAAGCTATTGGTTTAAGCAGTGAATTCCCAGTATCCTCCCTGACCTCTCCTGGCTAACTTGGATTCTCACAAGCTTCTCCAGCCCCCTTTGAGACTTGTGGGGACAAGACAAAATCTAAGGGAGTCATGAAGATTAAAGGGCAGAGTGGCTGCTTCCCCAAGAGGCCACAAGCAGGGACTCCAGAGACAAAAGTGGGATGGATGGATCAGGTAAGAGGAGCATTTGAGCTGATATGCCCCTGAAACCTGTTTGGACTGGGGGCCAAGACCAGTGGTCTACATTTCTTCCCTTCCCTCTTTTTCCTATGTGAGGGCCCACTTCTGAACCGTAAGCTTTGTTTCATAAAAGTCTGTTTACCTTTTTTTTGTTTGAAAAGTTTATTCCATTTGCTGAAGTCAAAAGCCAATCAATAGGTTGCTAAGTTGTGCGTGCTATTGTTCAATGAATAGCTGAGAAAGCCAGTTGGGAAAGTCTGGAAGGGGAGAGAGATTTTTAAAGCTGATGGTTTTGCCAGAGTGAGATTTCTGACTAGGGACTCCAAGTTAGAAGACTTCCTTTTACAAGTTCCCAGGTCCAAGGGAATACATTCACCAGCTTCAGTCTGGGTCAATGAATTCACTGCAGCAGTGGCCAGGCAACATGGGGAACAGAATCTCGTATTACTGGGGGCTGGTTTGAAAGGAAGGCAACTGAAGGTGTGGCTAGAGAAAAAAAAATCCCCAAGGAAGGACTAGCTCTACCACAGGAAGTTGTGTGGTGGGGACAGTGACAGACAGCCCTGTTGGTGGGCTCCCCAACCCTAACCCTGACATCACCCATTAGCCTGGTCAGGTGGAGTAAACACTAGATTCGGGGTGGGGAGATCTGGGTTCAAGTTCAGATGCCTTTTCTGCTTAGTAGCTGTGTGCTTTTGGGTGAACCATTTCATTCTTCAGGAAAATTATGAAGTTTGTATGCGGGATTGTCATTTTTTGACTTCCTACTTTGTCCCCCAAACGTCAGGGATGGGGCTTCTCCCTCCAGCCACCATTTTTTCTTAATTGCCTCGATTTTATGGAACCCCACAAGGACACTTCCTCTCCAGGACCTCAGTGGGCATTCCTTGCTTTTGCCCCTCCCCCTAAAGGACGCCAGGATTGTTCTTCCTTTCCCCTCCCACTCCCACCACTTCCTATCCGCTGCTCACGCTCACTTCCTCAGGTATTCCAACCTCCAGCCTGGACCCCTGGGGATGTCTCCGAAGGATGCCTAGTCCCTCCCCCTCCGGTCATCCAGGGATCCTCTCCCTGACCCCAGCGCCCACAGAAGACTCAGGAGTGGTAAGCGTGCGGCTGCTTTATTAGGGATGGATGCAAGGTTCCACATCAGACCCAGCAGCGAGGAGAAATTCTCAGGGGCAGCCCCCGGCCCGCTCCTCCCGCTGCCGCCGCTTCAGGGTCTGCGCCCACTGGGGTCTCCAGGGCAGGGCGCGCCCACGATGATCGAGGACCAAGCGGGTGGGGTCGGGTCCTCCGAGTGGCCCCCCTAGTAGCAGGTAGACAGACCCGGGCCTGAGAGTTAGGCAGCCGCACACCAGGTCGGCACGAGGAACCCAGGCATCCTGTAGTCCTGTGCTCAGGGGCTCTGCCCGCTGCTTGTACACAGCCAGGACACGGATCCTCAGACGCCACCAGGTTGGACCTGAGGGCTTGGCGGACTGAACCTGAGCTCGAAGAACTAATGAGAGAGGGAACGGGAAAGTCAGACTCCCCTGGGGACCCTTGAGCACTCCCTTGCTCCGCCTCTGGGGACCCAGGCCTCCCTAATCCCAAAACGAGGCGCATTTCTCCCCTAGTTCAGATCCCTAACGGACCCAGGCGTCCCCTCTTCCATCTTGGCTCCTTCAAGTTGGAAAGACTCCCCCCTGGGCCCTTCCTGGTAGACCCAGGCGCCCCAGTCCCGCTGCCCCGCTCCCGGGAGGATTTAGGCTCCCCTTCCCCAACTTTGCCTCTGGGAATACTCGGGCTTTCTAGGATCCCGCCCCCGGTGAACCCTGACCCTGATCCAGATAGAGAAAGTGAGGCCCAAAGGCTGCCAGGGCTAAGAACTCCGGTCTCCCTGATCCCGATCCCCGCCCCGCCCAGCGGGAGGCTCAGGATCTCACCGTAGGCTTGATGACAGTATTCCTGCAGACTCATGTGAACTCTGCCTTCTGACGCGTTACAGAGGTTCTGGCACGTCGGGTCTGCGGACGGCCCCAGACGTGAGCCTCTCTGCGCCCCCTCTAGGGTCCCTCCTCCGCACCGCGCCCCCTCCCCCTCTGCCCAGGTCCTGAATCCTCGCCTAGGCGTGCTGCTGTTTAGCTCCAGCTGGGTTCAGGGACCCAAGCCCTCGGGGTCCCCCAATACCTGGAGTGTAGACACTAGGGGCTGTGGCCTCTGTGGTCGTTATCTCTGGGATCCCTGAGAGAAGAAAACGAGCAGGAGGGAGAGCTCTAATCATTCAGCTCGGGCCTCTAGACCAGCAGCCACTCCCCACTCGGGGCCCCGGACATCCCCCTCCCAGTCTCTGCCCCTGGGGGCTCCAGGGGTCCGCTCCCTAGTCTCAGTCTCTGCCCCTTGGGGCCCCTGGAGTCCCTCCCCAAACTCACGCTGACAGGGCAGACGGATAGAACGACTCTGCTGGTAGCCTGCAGCGCAGCGGTCACAGGAGGGGCCAGTCACTCCTGGCTTGCAGGGACACTGTCCGCTGGTCTGGTTGCACTGGGTCCCGGTTGCACCGATGGGGTGGCACTGGCAGGCTGGGAGAGGGAGAATACTCGGTGACTCGTGGCCGCCTCCCCTCAGATCCCCGGCGCAGGCCCTGTCCCAGTCGGATCCCCTTCTGCATCCCGCCTCCAGCCGCCGTCCCCCCGCCGGAACTCACCCCGGCAGGCCCTGCGGCTGGATAGGGGCTGCTTGGGGTCCCGCCAGTAGCCCCGCTCGCAATAGTGGCAGTGACGGCCCGCGGTGTGGTGGCGGCAGCGTTCGCAGACACCGCCACTCCGCCCTCCCGACAGTCGGAACACCTCGGCGTGGAAGCGACAGCGTCGCGCGTGCAGATTGCAGGAGCAGGCTGGGAGATGGGATGGGACAAGAGTCAGGGTACCGGAATGGGCACCTCTTGGCCGGCTGTCCCGCCCCAGCCCCTGGGAGAGCGGGCAGATTGGTGTCTCTGGGCTGTTAGGTCAGGTCTGTGGGTTTCCCTATCTGTACAAAAAATGATTGGTGGGTAATTGATCTCCAAGGGTGCATTCCATGTTCAAAGTCCCATTGAGTTCCCTGGAGAGTGAACTGGTTCTGAGGGAGAATGGAGCTGGGCTTGGCTTGGTGGAACCCAGAAGTTTGGGATGATCTGTCAGAAGGTTTGGTCCAAAGTCGGCTGGGAAGATGGTTTACGAAAGGAGAGGAGGAGAAGAATGGGGAAACACGGAGGTGCACTTTGTGGTGGTGGAAAGGAAAGTGCGGCCTGGGCCTCCTTAGGCAACTTATATCCCAGTTCTAGAAGAGGGCTTTCAGGACTTCCTGCTGAGGCCTTCCCTTTGGGGATACACCTCACACCTGGACTACGGCAACAGCTGCTTTGGAATCTGCCTGTCTCAAGTCCCTCCTCATTCCAATACATCCTCCATTCAGCCACTAACTGATTTTATAAAGAACTGGCCTAATCATATTAAACCCCACCCCCTTACTTAATTAACTTCAGCAGCTCCCTATCACCTCCAGGCTCAAATACAAAATCCTGTGTTTGGCATTCAAAGCCCTTCATAACCTAGCCCCTTCCTACCTTTCCAGGATTCGTACACCTTACCCCTCACCTTGATCAGTGATGCTGGCTGAAAAAGACACTCCAGCTCTTTGCTCTGGACATTTTCTTTGGTTGTCCTCCATGCCTGGAACACTCTCCCTCCTCAGCTCGGACTACTGCCCTCTCTAGCTCCCTTTAAGTCCCTATTAAAGTTCCATCTTTTACGGGAAGCCTTTCCCAACTTCTCTTAATTCTAGTGCTTTGTCTTTGTTAATTCTGTCCTATTTATCCTGTCTGTAGCTTGCTCCTATATATTTGTTTGCATGTTGCCTCCCCCATTAGATTGCAAACTCCTTGAGGGCAGGGACTGTGTTTTCCTCTTTTTGTGTCCCCAGAGCTTAGCACTGTGCCTGGTACATATGTTTTTGACTGACTGCTAGATTGAGTCTTGCCTCACCATCTGCATCCAGTTTCCATCTCTTATCCATTCTTCCAGTACAATGTTTCTTATATCTGTCCCTAGTTCTGACCTCTCTCTGCCACCCCTGTAACAGTCTCCTAACTGGATTCCAGGCTCTAGTGTTTCCTCTTCCCAACTCACATTCCATGAAAAAATAATCTTCCTCTAGGTCAGTTCAAAACAAGTCACTTCCAGGAGTCAGCTCCAATCCTTCTTCCTGATAAATCCTTCACCCTGACATTCAAGGCTCTCCAGAGTCTGGCTCCAGCTTACTTGTCTAGCCTTGATGCACTCATTTTCCTTCACACCTGCTACTTTCTAGCCAAACCAGTTTTTATCTTTGCAGCACAGTGCCTTACACATAGTAGGCACTCACTGAACTGAGAAGAAGATGGAACTCTGAGAGGGAGAATTGAATAATGAGGGGAAACCTGAGGCAGCTTTGAGGAAGGATATGGTGCATTCCATGAAGGGACTGTTGAATTTGAGGTGTCAATGGGGGCATCCAGGTGGAGATAAGGGCGCAGGATTAATGTTCAGGAGAGGAGTGAGGGCTGGAAAATATGGATTTGAGGAGTCATCTGCATAGAGATGATTGAACTCAGGGGAGTAGATGAAATCAACAAAAGACTGTATGGAAGGAAGAGAAGAGGATCCGGAACAGATTGTTGGGAGGGAACACTCTAAGGGTAAGAGACAGATAAGGACCCAGCAAAGAGACTGAAAAGGAGCCATCAGGCAGTAGGAGAAGAAGCAGGGGAAGGCAGTGTCACAGAGGACAAAAGAGAAGAGTATTAAATGAGAATATATTTGTAAAGCACTTAACACAAAGCCAGGCACATAGCATAGTGGGTGGGAGATAAATGTTTATTCCCCCCTATCCTGGAGGAGATAGAGTGGGGTCAAAAGTTGGAGAGAGGTCAAGGAGGGTGAGAACTGAGAAAAAAAACATTGTATTAAGGAATTAATAGGTTATTGATAACCTTTAAAAAAACAAAACAATTTCTCCAGAGTGGTGGAGTCAGAAGTCAGGTAGGAAGAAGCTACAGAGTAAGTGGGTGGAAAAGACAGAAGCAATGAATGGAGACTTTTTTCTAGGAGTGAAGCAACAAAAGGGAGAAGGAGTATCTTGGGTAGAGAGTGATTGAGTTAAGTGAGTGTGTTTGTTTCTAATGGATAGGGGAACCCTGAGCATATTTGCAGGTATCAAGGAAAATGCTGGCAGAAGGGGAGAGACTGAAGATTTGAAAGAGGGCGTGATGGATGGGCAAACTCCCATAGCAGGTGGGAAGGGATGGGATCAAGGACCCAAATAGAGGCATTAGCCTTGGCAAAGAGAAGGGCCCCCACTTCATCAGAGACTGAGTGCTGAAGGAGACAGGTGATGATGTGGGGATGTTCTGATGTCTGGAGTAGGGGAAATGAGGGGACCCATGACAGATTGTCTTTATTTGCTTAGCAGAGCAAAAAGCAAGGTCGTACCTGCTGCCAGGCCTGGTAGGGGAGTGGTTCAAAGGACTTTAGGAGAGGAAGAGGTTTGGAATAGTAGCTACTGAGAGTGAGCAGAAAATGTCAGTTGATGAATGCTAGGGCTGCCAAGCAGCAGTGAGGGCTGAGATCAGTTGGGATCAGATTGTCTGGATTTGTAGTGGATGGAGTCTGTACAATTTTGTGACTTCTTCCACAGCTTGCGAGTTTGGTCAGAAAATACCAGAGCAGGGGATGGCCCATGGTTGACTGGCGTCACCAGCAGCTAGAAGATTGTGCACACAGGAATTCAAGGTTGTTGAATTTGTTGACTATAGAGTCAGAGCTATGGAGGGAGGAGAGGGATGCCAGCAAAGGGCTGATGGCCTTGGTGCTCTAGCAGTGGTGGAGAGAAGAAGGGTAGGACTCTGTTGCCATGGGGACTGCCATCAAGGCTTCATTCTCCCACTCAGTATCTCAGGCTTCCTGGGGGAGTTTTCTTCTCCCCCTCAAAAGTCCACTCTCAGCTGCTGTTCCTTGTCCCCTCGCCTTCCCTCCAGGCTGTAATTCTATATCTCTACTTCTTCCTTCACTACATTCAAATTCTCGATTTACCCTCTCAACTTTTCATTCACCTTCCCATTCTCCCGTTGTGACAGCCACTCTCTCAAGTATTTCATTCTGCCCCTTAATGTCCATCATCTACCACAGGGCATCAGTGTCCTGTCAGCCCCGATATGGCACTTCTCCGTGAGAGAAGAGCACCCCGAGAGGGAAGAGAGAACATTGGGAGGCAGTCCTAATAGCTGAGAGGGACGAGGGGGACCATTCAAAGAAGCTTGAATGGTGAGGACAAAAACAGAACTCGGACAGAAAGAATGGGTGTCATGCAGTGACACGAAATGGCAAGGTAAACATAGAGAGGAGGATGGAACCCAGAGGGGGACAAGGATATGAGGCCGAGGCAGGGGAGAACAAATCACAGAGAAGTGGAAGCCGACACTAAGGTGGAGAATGGCAGTGGGGAGGGCAGGAGAAAGAAAAGTAGGGAGATAATGGATTCCTGAGCGGGAGAGTGAACAAGAGACGTAGCCTGAGACTGAGAATTCAGTAGAATTCTCAGGATTAGCCTGGGGTAGTGATGAGAGAATGTAAAAACCCTGACTAGTAAGACAGAACCCCGCAGGGGAGGGAAAGTGGAAAATTAAGGGGCAGAATGGGGCTCCGGGTGGGGGCAGGGAGGCTGGAAGCCGAAGCACTCTTGGGGAAAGGGGTGGAACCCTGAGGGGGGAATGGAGCTTGAGAGAAATGCCAAGCGGCACTACCTGAGTGACCTCACCAGTCTGGGTCTCAGTTTCCTCATATGAAAGGGGTGGAGTGGGGCTGGATTAGAGGGCGCTAAAGTCCCTGAAGTGAGAGGGTTGGATGGGTCTGCAGGGGCAATAGCTAACCCTGAGGGGTACTCACGCTGACACGCGTACGGATGCTGGGGCGTGGCCGGCCTCCAGGGCCAGTCCTGATGAGACGGAAGGCAACTTTCGCACCCGGGACCCGTGGTGTGGTGGCGACAGCGGCAGCGTGGGGGCTGAAGTCGGGCAGCGCAGCGGGCGGCGTGGCCGTGACACTGACAGCGGCCCCGCACAGCCACGGACGCCAGCGCCTCTGGGGACCCCAGCTCCACGCGCAGGTGGACGGCGGGCCGGTGTTGGGCGGGGCCGAGCTGGGCGCGGAGGGTCAGCTCGGCAGTCGGGCCTCCCCCCGAGGTCCAAAACCTGGCCAGAGGCCACCAGGGCCCCCCGGCGGCGTCCCCGCCGTTCGACGTGGCCAGGACTCGGGCCCCAGCGACGGCGTTGGCTGCCGGCGGGGAGCAGAAGCGCAGGTGGACCGAGGTCAAGAGGAAGGGGCCCCCGAGGGCCAGGTTCAGGCTGCTGCTGTGGTTGACCGCTCGACCGCACGATCCCCCAGCCCAGGCTAGGAGGGCTGTTGGGGGGACACAGAAGAGGGGCCTGCCCTGGGCGTCCGAGCAGTGCTCCCCCTCCCCCAGGGTGAAGAGGACGAGCAGGCCAAGGGAGAAAGTCAAGGGCATGCTGGCGTGGCCTTGCACCTGGAGGAGACCACAGACACTTCCAACCATCCTGGCAACCCGCTCTTCAAGGACGAAGATGCCACCTCCCCCTACCTAGGTTCCCAAGGATCTCCGCCCTCCCCCCAGCCAGTCGGAGACCTAGGTGCTGCATCCTCTAGCTGCACCTAGGTGTCCCTTTTCCATCTTTTATCCTGAGACCCAGGCTTTGGTTTACCCAACACCCATTCAGGTACCCGGGTTCCTCCTTCATTCCCATATGGGGACTGCGATTCTCCCTTCCCCAGACGAGCCCCGCCTCCTAGGGGACCCTAGCGCCTCCTCCCCCGCCCCACCCCGCGGGGACCCCGTCGCCTCCTCCCAGTCCCCCAGACAGCCTGGTTGCCCAGTTCTGGCCTCCCTCTGATTTTCAAGCGCGGAAAATGGTTCCATCTGGGGCGCTCCGTGTTTACCTAACCCAGGGGGGAAAGAACGCGGGCAAAATCGAGAATTTCGCTGGGACTAATCCCTGGCTTAACACCCTGGAGCTAGTGATGTGACAGGACCAGACTTGAGGCCAAGGGAGCTCCAGTTCCCCAGAGCCCACACAGAGACAGCCAGGGCAGGCAGGCAAAAAGGAGACAGAGTCGAAAGCGGCTAAGAGAGGAGGGAGAAGAGACAGAGAAAAAAGAGAGACAGCAATTGTGAGAGGGAATAGGCAGACGGAGAGAGAGTGAGGGAAAGGGAAGGAAGAGAGAGACATACAGAGGCAGAAAAAAGAGAGACAGAGACTGTGAGAGGGGATAGGCAGGGGTGGGGGGTGGGAGGAGAGTGAGGTGGAGACAGACACAGAGAAAAAAGAGACAGTGAATGTGAGAGGGGATAAGCAGAGGGGGAGAGAAAGGTGGAGGCACAGGGACACAGAGGAAAAAGAGACTGAATGTGAGAGGCATGGGGGGAGAGGAAGGTGCAGACAGAGACAGAGAAAAAAAGAGAGAGTGACTATGAGAAAGGATAGGAAAAAGGGGAGAGAGAGATAGCTAGAGAGGGAGATGGAGAGATGCAGCCAAAGGGAAGCAGACAGAGACAGAAAGGAGAGACATACAGAGAGAGAAACAGAGACAGAGATACATAAAAGATCCAGAGACAAGTAGGCAGAAATTCAGAGGGGAAAAAGGAAGGCAGAGCCAGAGATAAAGGGAATTAAAAAAAAAAGGTGTGGGACAATAGGGACCAAGGACAGAAAGCATTGTGAAGACACCGGTACAAGGAGACAGAAACATCTGAGAGCTGGAAGTAGAGGCAGCAGCAGCTGAGGCGGCAGCAGCAGGGATCCAGACGAATGGGGAGAGCAGAACGTGGAGAAACAGATTCAGGAAGAGGGGTGAGAGATGGAGACAAAGATGCAGCAATAGAATGGGGATTAAAGGGCAGGTGAAGGGATAGCTGGACAGAAAGCTATACACATGCAGGGCACAGAAGGAGGTGCAGATGGAGGAGACACTAAAGAGAGATTAAGAGATAGAGGTTGAGAAACAGAGACCTGCAGGCAGAAAGAGATGCAGAATGAGAGAGACCCAGAGAAGGAAAAGAGTCTGAGAGATGGAGAGATGGAAGGAATTACGGGAAGCAGAGACACTGAGCCTTGGAAAAGAGATGGGGGTGGGGGTGGAGTTACAAAATTGTCCAGATGTGGGGGAGGGGAGAGAGAGAGAGACAGAGAGAGAGAGAGACACTGAGAGAGACACTTAGAGAATTTGGGAGACTTAGAGATACTGAGAGAAACAGAGGAAGACTCAGATGGACGTGGGGAAGGCAGAGACACCCAGAGTCAGGCTGGCTAGGAGGGGGTGGGTCCTGCAGGGTCCCAGGCAGAGGCATGAGGGAGGCCCAGCCAGCCCAGGGCGACTAGACTCGAGCTGTCCTGACAGCCAGTTCCCACGTGGGCCCCTAACCTCCTTCTCCACACCCTGGGCACGGAGGGGGGATTAAGAGCAAGCCCTTACCCCCCCAATCCCCCAATCCTTCTTCATCAGCTACAGCTCAAGATCTTTGTGAGGGAGGGAGCAGATCCTGTATACCTGGGTCCCTGAGAAGGCAGGGGCTGGAGATTCAGATTCCTGGGTCTGGAAGGGTGGGAGAAAAGAGTGGTTCCCAGATGCATAGGCCCTGAAAGGGTAGTATTAGGAGCCCTAATTCCTGGAATCTTGAGGGGTAAGAAGTTAGACTTCTGAGGCCTGACCTAGGGACTCTCATCCCAAAGCTTTCTCTGATCAAGGCGAAGATTGCTAGGTCCCACAAGTCCAGGCTTTTGAACCCTCCCTGGGTTCTAAGGTCCCCAGAATAGATGGGGACTTTGAGGGAAAACCCCCAAAAGGGGCCAGAATGAGGTCTTCTGGTCTAGATGCCTGGGTCACTGAGGAGAGTGGAGATAGTTAGTGCCTGGGTTCTGAGGACAGGCCACAGAAATTCTACTCCACATCACCCTTTCCTCCTCAAAGGCCCACCCTCCTTGGAGACTCAAACATCTACCAGTCCCCGAGCAAACACTCACCTAGAATCTGGACATCCACAGGCCGGAGGTCCCGCGCAGCCTGTCTGTGCTCTGAGGCCAGGACTGGCTGGGGAGCTGTGGGATGGGATGGGGGGGTGCTGGGTGTGGCCACCCTGGTATGGGGGTGTGACGTCATCCGCCAACCCCTAGGCTGATTTCACGCCCCAGCTTTCCCCAGTAGGCAGATGTTGGAGGCCTGAGGCCGCCATCTCAGCTTTGGGATCCAGGCACCATCTTTGGACTCCCAGGACACAGGCATCTAGGAATCTAGTCCCTGACCTTTTGGAACAAAGCTATCTAGGACCCCAGCATTTTCCTCCTGGTGAACCCAGATGTGCAAGTCTCCAGGCTCTGCCCCCTCAGGAAAGCAGGTGCCCAGGCCCCCAGCTCCTGTTCCCTCAGACACTCAGCTGCCTAGTCCCCTAGCCCCTGCCCCGTCATGAGCTCCAAAACCCAGCCTCTGTTCTCTTAGGGACTGATGTGTCCAAGCCCCCAGCCCCTGTCCCCTTCTGGCCCCAGATCGCAAGCCACCACTACTTCCCCCGTCATGTCCAAACTCACAGCCCCTCTCCCCTCTGGGGCAAAAGCGGCCAGCATCCAATCAGATGTTCCTCCCTACCAGCCTCTTCTGTCCAGTATCTCTCCCTTGACAAGCCAGATTCATTTGTTAAGTGCTTATTCTGAAGCAGGCACTGCACTTACACAAACAATTCAAAGAGAAGCAAAACCAGAACCCCAAAGTCTGCACTCTCCAGGAGCTCCCAGATCTATGGAGGAGAAAAGTGCCGGCCCTCAAACAAGCCGCCAACACCCCAGCAGCAAGAGGAATGAAGAAAGGCTTCATGCAAGAAGCGAGATTTTAGCTGAGGCCTGGAGGAAGCCAGGAAAACCAGGGGCTGGAGATAAGGAGGGAGGAGGGCATCCCGGGGAGGTGGGGGGAGGTGGGGGGAGAGACAGCCAGCCAGCAAAAATGCCCCGAGTCAGAAGATGGAGGGGCAGCCAAGAGTCTAGGGCCTCTGGACCACCAATTACGTGAGGGGCGTCAGAAGACTGGAAAGATTGGGGGGCAGGTTATGGGGGGCTTTGAACACCAGAAGATCCTGAATTTGATGCAGGAGGTGATCAGGAGCTAGAGTCCTGTGACACAGGGAGGGAAGTAAGATGCAAGAAGACTGGTAAGATAGGAAGGGGCCAGGAAACGGAATGGGGAGGGGACATGGTTAGCCCTGAAATTCAGCAAGGTCAGTGTGACCGCTAAGCAGAGGTTAGACTAGAGCAGGGGGGGAGCAGCTAGGTGGTGCAGTGGATAGAGCACCGGCCCTGAAGTCGGGAGGACCTGAGTTCAAATCTGGCCTCAGACCAAACACTTGACACTTACTAGCTGTGTGACCCTGAGCAAGTCAATTCATCCTGTTTGTCTCAATTTCCTCATCTGTAAAATGATAACAATAATTAGCACCTGCCTCCTGGGGTTGTGAAGGTCAAGCGGGGTATCTGTAAGATGCTTTGGATATCTTAAAGCACTAAATAAATGCCAGCTATTATTATCATTATTATTATGTTGTCCTTGCTGTTGTCATTGTAAATGTGAAACTGGAAAACTAGAGAGATCTTGGAGTGAGGGGAATAAGCATTTTTATATCACCTACTATGTGTCACGGGTTTTACACCTATTATCGCATTTGATTCTCACAATGACCCTGTGGGGTGCAAACAGGGTAAACTGACTTGCCCAGGGTCACACAGCTAGCAAATATCTGAGGCCAGATTTGAATTCAGGTCTTCCAGACTCCAGCCTTAAATCTCCCTCCAATGTATCCCTAACTAGGAGCTGACAAGATCACCAAGAGGAAGGTGGGAGAAGAGAAGAGAGGCCACCACAGAGCCCTGAGGGACACCTACCATGACAGGGCGGAGGAGACAGCAAAGGAGACGGAGAAGGAGCAGTCAGCGATGGAGGAGGAGAAGCAGGAGAGAGAGAAGGAAGATGAGGTGGAAGAGCCTCCAGCATAGAGACTGCTTGGAGGAAACCCCAGGAAGGGTCTAGGGAATCAATCATTTATTCAATCAACAAACATTTACTATTCCTCTAATATACGCCAAACATTGGGGATACAAAGAATGAAATGTTTCCTCCTCTCTAGGACACTGAGAGAGGCTTAGAAGACCAGGGAGGTCCCTCATTGGAATGAAGGGGAGACTTGCCCCAAGTCCTTTGTGTGGCTCTGTGCTGGATCAGGATATCCTAGAGAAATACATACATCCAGGGGCAGCTAGGTGGTGAAGTGAATAGAGCTCTGGCCTTGGAGTCAGAAGGACCTGAGTTCAAATCCAGCCTCAGACACTTAACACTTACTAGCTGTGTGACCCTGGGCAAGTCATTTAACCCATATCACCTCACCAAAAAGGGAAAAAAATACATGCATCTACAAGCGGGAGGCCCCTGCCCTCCTTAACCAGAGCGGGGGAATTAGGGACCAAATCAGGGAGGAAACTTGCCGAGATTACCCAGCCAGTCAATGAGATGAGAGCCCGGAGTTTCCTCTCTTTGACAGTTTCTTTGTGGCTGGTTTAGACAGATTGATTTCTCTGGGGAGTGGGGTGGGAGGGGCAGAAGAAAATTCATCCAACTTCCCAGGGAGACTCTTCTTCTGTCTCATTCTCTGGCTGGCTGCTATTGTTATTATTGTTTGTTTGGCCTTTGCTTTGGCGTCTGACACATAGCAGGTGCTTCATAAATGCTTATTGAACTGACAGATATGCACTTTAGGAAGATCATTTTGACTTCTGAATGGAGGATGGCCTGGAGTGGGGAGATACTGGAGGCAGGCAGACCTCCCAGCAGCCACTGCAATACTCCAGGGGTGAGGTTAGGAGGGTCTGGACCAGGGTGGAGACAGGGTCAGAGGAGAGAAGGAGATGTGTTCTAGAGATTCTGAAGAGGTGAAATCACTGGCCTAGGCAGCAGCTCGGATATGGGGGGGGTGGGGGAATGCAGTGGGAGGGAGGTGACACTGTAGCTTCAAGAAGGACTTGGGGAGGAAGATGAAGAGGAGAGTGAGGAGAATGAAGGTAAGAAGACAAGGTAAGCAACCATGGTGTAGGCTGGGGGTGCTCTTGGTCAATACCTCATGTGACCCATGGGGCCATGCAGTAGTGCAAGATGCCCGCACCAGCTCTTATGCTAAATCCTATGAGTCTACAGACAGCCAAGACACCACTTCTTTCATTTACAACTGAGGGAAGGCAAGATCTAATTTTTCCTGTCGAGTTACATCATGCCTTAAGCCGTCAGCCAAGTGTTCTCAAAGCACCTGGGTTAGGAGCACCCTTCTAGTGTGCGTGCTCATGAGACTTACCCAGCTTTCAACTGGGTAAGAAAAAGAAAAACCCACTGGACTTCAGTAGAGGGAGAGGCTTGGACAGTGCCAGGATGTGGGGGTGGAGCCTCAGTCTACCTGCTGATGAGATTTACAGAAGTTGCCCAGCTTGGCCACATGTCCCTGGTTGGTCACTCTCCAGTTCTTGGGTGCCACCCAATGCTGGTCCCTGCTCTCAGTCTCAGCTTTCCTGGTGCTGCCCCAAGCTGGGGTTGTGGGCCCCAAGTTCTGGGTCTCTAGGGCAGAAGTCCATGCTCATCAAATCATTGTCGGCTCCTTGCCCTGAATGGACTGGAATGGCTAGAAGTCTCATAGGAAGGGAGGGAGAGCTCGTTTCCATCATCCCATTGCTGAATTCCTTCCTGCCCATTTGGTGCAGGGGCATGGGATCCATGGCAGTGTTCTGCCAGAGAGTGAGTCCAGGTGTGCATGTGTCTGTCTGTCTGTCCGTCCTGGACTCATTATCACCCTGAGGTAAGATAGTAGCCCATAAAAGGTGAGGGGTGAAAAGGAAAGAGCACAGACATTGATTGTATATGTAAGCCATGGTGATTAGACCTGTGTGATCCCTGTGGGCATGTGGAGCATGTGTCCCCTTCAGCAACTCCACGTCTGCCCATCTTCCCAGTATTTTCTAGGTCTTAGGTGCCAAGGAGTGATGGAAAACTAGCAAGGTGAGCTTTGGGAGGGAGGTGCTACCAGAAAGGCCAGCTCTCTGCAGCCATGGTGGTCATGCTGTCTGACAAGGTAGTGAAGAAAACAAGCCATTGTGCTTTGAGATGAATTCTCTGTCCCACGGGTTCCAGGGACGCTACTGAAACATGTCAGAAGGAAACAGGAAGAGAGAAGCTGCCCACATGGTAAGCCCAGAGGACTTCCAAGGCCAGCTGGCTGAAACATTGGACAACAAATTGAAGATTTGTTGGGAACTGGAGTCAGAGATCACCACTCCTTAAGCAGTATGCTAGGGTGAGGCAGTTTTCATTCGTGACTGAGAGTGGGGATTGCTTGGTAGCTCTTCCCTACCAAAGGTGGTACATCTGTCTCTGATTCACTCCTCTTCCCTTCAAGAGGAAAAGGGCAGGAGGAGGAAGAGATGGTGGAAGGAACTGAAAATTCAGAAGCCACGGAATGTACTTATTCATGCCACGTCAGATTTCCCACTTGTATTTTACTTTTGGTTTCCTGTTCATAAATGCCATTTAGCTGAAATACCAAGTGAGTGACTTCACTGAGGCTAGGCTGAGAAGGGAGAAGGTGGGGATTCAAGTGTGTGGGGGACATAGGAACCAGGAAAGTGATGAGTTATTTTAAAGAATGTCAACTCTGCTCCATGTTAAATGTGGCCTTTAGGGCACTGAAGAAGATTGGGTGTGTTGCTGGTTTTTAAGCTCGGCAGTTTGGATAGAGCTGGTGAAGCCCTTGCATGGACCATCACCTGGTGGCTTTAACAGATTCAGAACTCCACATCAGCTGCTTCTAGCCCCACGCCCTAATGCAAGCTGTACTGTTCTCATGGGACCAGTGGCCCATGGCCACCACTGTGTGTCAAGGATTTCTTTCTTTCTTTCTTTTTTTGCTTTTAGGCAATTGGGGTTAAGTGACTTGCCCAGGGTCACACAGCTAATAAGTGTCAAGTGTTTGGTCTGAGGCCAGATTTGAACTCAGGTCCTCCTGACTTCAGGACTGGTGCTCTATCCACTGCACCACCTAGCTGCCCCAAAAGCAAGCCTATTCCAGTCTAGCAGTTTGGGTTGTTTTTTTTGGGGGGGGGCAATTGGGGTTAAGTGACTTGCCCAGGGTCACACAGCTAGTAAGCGTCAAGTGCTTGGTCTGAGGCCAGATTTGAACTCAGGTCCTCCTGACTTCAGGGCTGGTGCTCTATCCACTGAGCCACCTAGCTGCCCCCAAGGATTTCTTAAGAGGTCTGTTTCACAGTGCCTGCTACATAGGAAGTGCTTTGTAAATGCTTTTTGATTTGTTGATCAATAAGTCACAATCACAATAGTGACCATGATCAGAATGCTTGTCAAATGACAAGTAACACCTCTGATTGATGATGCTGCCCACAAGCACATTGCAACAGAAATATAAATGAGTATCTCTTAGCCAGAGCAGCTAAGGAGTCCAGCAAGCATGGCTAAGAGGGTCCATCCTGCAGTGACCTGCACTGAGGATGTGATATTTGTATGTCTGCCAGCTAAGGAAAGGCTGATCTCTCCCTAGAAGGGACAGTGAAGTAGGTGGAGAAATGTCTCTCCACACTCTAGGTTATAAGGGAAAGATAAATATTTCTTTAAAAACACACCCACAGAGAAGGGTTTTAATGTAAAAACAAAACAAATCAAAACATAAAGTCTCATAAGAGGCAGAAGAGATTCCTGAAGTGTGTCAAGTGGATGAAGAACGTATACGGAGAAAACAAGGAAAACCAAAGGCTAATGAACAATTACGGCCAAGTATGCTGTCCCTTTCCAGCTGGGCAGCCAGTCTGTTGCTGAGTTAAGACTGCTTTGTTTGCAGTTCTGAGAGAAACCATTGTTCTGACCTAGAGTTCTAAGACAATCACTGTTGTTAATTTTGAATGTGACAAGCTGTAGTACACTGGAGAGATGAGGACAGCAGACTGCTTTATAATTAGAGCGCAAATGTAGTTGATCTGATTATAGACACAAGATGAGAATTTGGTGAGTTCATAGCTCAAACAGAGAGTCAACTACAAGCCGCAGAGTGACATAGGACTGGGAAAACTGGACGAAGCAGATACAATTAGACCAGAGAAAATGGGCCATGTCATGGCTTAATTCCCGATGTTGAAAGCATAGCTAACTGGTCTTGGTTACCAAAAAACTCTAAAGATGCCAGTTGTTTATGAGTGTATGGAAATAGGAAACCAGTATGAATGTGACAAAAAGCTCGACAAAATCAGGTTCCAGGATACCTTCCCAGGTGTGGATCACAGAGCCCAAGGAAAAGGCAGCCTTGGATTGATCGCACTCAGGAGGAGAAACCTACCAACACCTGAATGCCTCTTGATGTAATCAGGGAACAGGGGACAAAAGACCCAACAGGCATCTTTTTGGATGGATACAGGAGGGGGGTGTGTATGGCAAAAAGGAATGTAGTTTTGAGGTGTGGGAAAAAATGGATTCCTTTTTGCTACATATACACCCCTCCGTTGTCTATCTAAAAAATGACTTTTCTATACTAAAGAGTCAACTTTGGGAAACAGAGATAGGGCCAGGGATGGAGGGCTGGGGACTTTATCCTCAAGTAAGTCACTTGTAGTTGATGTAGGAGATCTAAAACCCAGGCCCCATGAAGATAAAAAGAACTAGGATATTTTAATTGTGGACAAGCTGGCCATTAATTTGTTCATTTGACTTACAAGGATAGCTGTCACTTGATTCAGAGGAAGTTGAGGGCCATGTAACCAGTATCAGTAAATAAGCAAGTAGGAGAGGTTTGTTTTCAAGGACCGAAGCAAGGGGACAATTTTGAGAAAGAACTAAAAAGAAACTTTGTTATTCAGAAAATACTGAAGAAACTTAGTATTCTCTGAAGGACATTCATATGTGAGGTATCTCTGTTGAAGAGAAAGTTACATGATGTGTACCAAAAGCCTAACATATCTAGCACTTTGCACAGTGCCTGGCACATGGGAAGCTTAGCTTAATAGATGTTTGGTGACTTGACCTGGCCTGTGACCAGCAATCACTGGATATGACATAAGGAGCCACTGTATTGAATCAGAAATCCAGCATGATTGAAACTTTGCATAATCCAGGGTCAGCAAAGAGAATCAATTAAAAAGATGGTGCTTTGAGAAAGCTTCAAATTGTGCCTTAGAACTGAGGAGGCACAGCCAGAGAATGAGGTTATCATTGGATGTCCAGATGCAGACAGATCCCCCCTGACCTCCTCAGCCAGAGGGGAAGAACAGGGAATAAGGATTAGCCACATTTTGGCCCAACAGCCCAGTTGTAGTGAGGGAACAGTTCCCCAGCCTCATTCTTCATTCCTGTAAAGTCCCATACAAATGGGACCTCCAACAGGGAAGCTTCCTCTGATTCCCCAGATCAGCAAGGCCCTTTGTCTTGGAACTGCACAAAGCCCTTCACCTTTCTCTAAGCAAGGTTCAGTAGAGGAGACCATCTAGCGTTGGTTCTAGAAAACCAGAGGACACACACACACACATTTCTAGGAAGATACAAGCAGAAACAGAAACACAATGTTGGACTGGTATTCATTCAATCCACCAATTCAGTTCCCACACTGTTGGGCAGACTCTGTGGTGCTGGGCACTGTGGACAAAGAGAATCTCAAAACCTTCTTTGCTGTCCTAAGGGCCTTGGGAGAGGAAGAGCTCCCATCCTGGGTGCTTCACGTGGGCCAGATGCCTCTCAACAAGGTATGCTGTAGAGGGCCAAATTGTTCAGGTATGGCTTGAGCACAATAGTCTCTAGTCCCCTCCTATTCTGTGATCCAGGGTAAGTGCTCCCTGAGGGCAGAGACCCTAAACTTTGCAGCTCCTTAGCCCCTCATCATAAGGTTTTGCCCTTACTAAATGCTGGTTGCATTCAATTCAATTGACTTCCTGTTAGAATAAGATCCTTGGAGGCAAGCAATGGAGTTCTGTTTCCCCTAGCTCCTAGCCTTGCATTCTGCATACAGCAGGCATTTAATAAATTCTGGGTGACTTGGATTGAATTCCCCTACTAAACTTTGCACATTAGTAGAGAGATTTTTAATTCCAGGAGCTGTCCACACTGATAAAATCATAGGCTCAGAATGAAAGAAAAAACAAACAAACACACACCTAAATTCTCAGATATATGTTAAGTAGTGAATGGCTGTGGTGACCCACTGTGGGAGCTCCCTCACACTGGTGGCTTGGGCTGACACTGCTGCCGGCTTCGAGGTCACCCCAACTGGCTCTCCTGGTATAGAGAATACATAGAAGATGCCTCCAGTGGGGATTCAAAGTCCACTGATGATGGGGCTGAGGCCTCAGTGGACACTCCTTCCCTGCTGCAGACACAGGGCAACCACGCAATCACAGCCATGGGTGCCTTCATACATGCCCGTAGCAGAGGCCTGGACAACCACACCCAACCCACTAGACTGCCAGCTCCCAGACACCTTCCTGTCCATAGCCCTGGGAGGCATGGTGGACCACAGCCTGGGGTTCTGAGTAGAGGCAGGATGGGCAGGGGTGCAGTCCCAACCTGGGAAGCTTAAGCAAGACATCAGGAGGCTGACAGCCTGGTCCATGGACACAGCTCTCTGTATAGTCTCACTCTCCCCAGTGAAGATTGAAGCTTCTGAGGAGTTGGAGCCCAGTAACCTTGAGTCCTCATTTTACTGAGGCCCAGAGAGAGTAGTTGACACCAAAATCACACAGTGAGTCTAGAAATCACAGATTCTGAAAGGCAGAGGGGGGCTTAGAATCTGTCTCACTCCTTCATTTTAAAGATGGGGAAACTGAGGACCAGAGATATTAAGGACCTTCCCTAAAGATAGTCTACAGTCCAGTCTACAATCACACCCCTGAGGCAGCTCACATCCTGCGAAATGACCAGACTGGCCTTTGCGTTTTAAAAGAGAAAACACATGAATGTTTGAGAATTTTACATAGTCTGCTAAGAAGATGGGGGAAGGGGGAGGCTTCTTCAACATCACTCAGTTGTCCTCGTGCCTGTCTAGTCCCAGACTCTCAGTGTGGACAGGAGTGCGGATTGGAGCCCCTCGATTTAAGGTCCTTCTCTCCATTAGTCAAGGTCCCTGTAAAGGATGGGCCATTTCTGTAGTTCTGAATGTCAGTGGCCCTGCCTCTGTTTCCCTCTCATTTCCCCTCCCTCATCTCCTGGCCCCATCTGTGTCTCTGTCACTCTGCAGGTTTTTCTGTGTTTCTCCTTGTGGAAATGGCACTTTTTCTCTGTGCTGGTTTCTGTCCTACTCTGCCAGTGTTTGTGTGTGACTGTGAGTGTCTGTGAATTTCTGTCGGGATGCATGTGGCCATTTCTTTGGCTCCTGACTTGTGGGTGTTCCTGTTTGTTGGGTGCCTGTCCCCGGCAAGGCCCCCCCCTTGCAGGCTCCCATCACCACTCCTCCACTCCCAAGTCCCAGAGTCTGCTGGTCCCAGGCTCTGCGAAGTCGGTGCAGAAGATGCTAGGGGTTGGGCCGGAGCAGTCCAGAGCTGGGCTTCCGGTCAGAGCCTCCAGCCAATCGGCAGCCTCCAGGGGACGCCCCGGTCCTGGCGATGGCGAGCTGGCAGGGGACGGAGGCCAGGAGGAGAAGACGGAGGACAGGCCCTCGGAGCCTGGCGGCGGGGATGGAGACAGGAGGTCGAAGGAGCCCGGGAAATCCAGCGGGGGTGGAGGCAGAGCTTCTGGGAGGAGCAGAGGGGCAGGAGAGAAGGAAGGGGCTGTCAGACTTCTTTGCCCCTCCCTGGTCCCTTGGGCAGGAGACTTGGACCCAGGTGTCCCGTGACCTCATTCCTTGCCCCCTCCCAGAGCCCTCGAGCTCCTTTCCCCCAGTCACCATCATTTCAGTACCACAGGCGATCAGCCTCTGCGCCAGAGCCCCACGAGTCTCCCTGACCCTCATCCACCCCCAATCCTGCTGTCCTGGATCCAGTACTCACCTGCCAGCGGCTCCAGAGGCTCGTCCAGAATGTCCTGGATGGAGTGATGGGGGTTGAGCTGGGCGGGGGAAGGTGAGGAAGGAGGTAAGTGACCCTTGCCTCTGGACTTGGCCCTCCCCCTCCCCTTCTCCCCGTAATCCTTTCCCAAACTCCTAACCCTTCCTTCCCCATTCTCTCCCAGCACCGCAGCTCCTCCCTTCCCACACCTGCGCCCTGCGGATGGCCTCCTGAAGCTCCTCTTCCAAGGACAGGACTCGAGGTGCGGCGGGAGGAGCAGGCGGGGCCTCGGGGGCAGCGGGGCGGGGCCAGGGCTGAGGGGATGGGCAGAGAGCTCAGCCCCACCCCATTGCAGCCACTCCTGGTCCCGCCCCTTTCCTCTAGCCCCTCCCTTCATCCTCCCCTTCCACTGTTTTTCCTTTCTCCTGCTCCGGCCTCTCTCCGAGCTCCATCCCTCTCCTGGCCCCGCCCCTAGTCGTGGTTCCTCCCATCTCCCTTCTTCTGGTCCCTCCTTTTAATCTAGCCCCACCCTCGCCTGCCTGGGACTCCTCACTTGCCCTCTTCCTGTGCCCCTCTTTCCTGTCCCCCTCCCCCTTCCCAGCACTCACGGACTTTCCAGCTGTTCTAGGAGGGGCCTGGGGCTCCGTGCGAGGTCGCGGACGGGACCTGGGTTTCGAGCTAGAGCTTGGGCTGGCGCGGGAGCGAACTCCGGAGCTCCGCACCGGCCGCTGCACCTGGGGCTGCCTGTCCCGGGCCCCGGCCCCTCGCAGCCGCTCCAGTAGGGCCGGTTTTGGCCCGGACACTGGGAGGCCCCTCAGGCGGAGCTGTTGGCGGAGTTCCGAGACCTGTGGGCAGGCGAGCGCATCGACTCAGAGGCTGGGGATTGGGCGGCTGGAAGGAAGGACGCCTGAGTCCCCGAGAGGATGGGGGAGCCCGGGACCTCGAGGAGAAGGCTGGACGAACGGATTTCCAAGTCCCCGAGGGGGCTGGGCTGGGACGGGGGAGCCTGGGGCCTGAAGGGGAAGACTCGAGGAAGGGACCCCGGGGCCCCCATGGAGAGGAGTTCTGAAAGGAACATCTGGGACTCAAAATGGGACGAGAGCTCCTGGAGCTTCGAGGAGAAAGAATTGTGAGAGGAGACACCTGCTCTCCCAGGGGCCTCAGTCTGGGGTGTCATGAAAGGGGGTCTTCTATTTCCTTACAACTCACCGTCAGCTCCTCCAATCGGAGGGTCTGAAGCTCTAACTTGGGCTTAGAGGCCACTGGTCGGGGGACCTCCGGGGGTGCGGGGCTGTCCTGGAGTCCCGGTCTCGACCCCCAAGTCCTGCAGTACATAATGGAAGATTCTTGAACCGAATTCTGGGAGGGAAGGATTGATCCCCTTGGGAGCCGAGACCCCCAGTTAACGAGAGAGTGCCTAGAGCCCCTTAGGGGTCTGGATTGGGCGAGGTGCTTCTGAGACCGTCTGGGTACAGAGAGCGCTGTCACTCTAGGAGCTAGGGCACAGAGGGGCCAGGGACCCAAGGCAAGGTTGTCTCTCAGGGTCCTGGGCGGAACCTCACCTAGGCAAAGACAGGTCCTGCTTGTGCCCTGAGAGCTGCCCATCCTCCCTGGGGTGGCTTCCCTGGGCCGGCGCCGCTGCACCTGGCCCTGGCCCTCCACGGTGCTCTGGGGGCACATATGCGTGGTACTTGAGTGGTTTCAATCTGGATCTGGGCTCCCTCTGGTGACCGTCTCCTTTGGCCTGTCAAAGGATTTCCAGCTCGGGTTAGGTGCCCTTCCCCCAGACGGAACTACACTTCCCATGAAGCCTCTAGCCAAAGCCCTGCCTAAATCTCCCGATTCGGCTCTGCGGCATCCTAGGAGTTGTAGTCCCGAAAGCATTCCTTGGCCGTCAGGAAGCCGCAGACCACACACACACCGACCCAGGCGGCCCAAAAGAACTGGAGCGCCAAGGCTCGGGGCCAGAATTTCGAGAGGATTGCTCAGCCCCATCTGCCTGAGGGCTTTGAACAAAATGACTTCGCAGTCCCCGGCTCACCTTCTTCAATGACACCCCAGAAAAGGGGAGGGTTGCTGGATTGGGTTTGAAGACTCCAGGGTCACAGGATAAAGGGGAGGAATTGGTGATGGAGACTTGGTCGGGGGCTGGGGCCGAGATCCAGGGATCCACTGTAGGAAGAAAGGATGAGACTGAGACCTAAGGAGGGATGAAGTAGCCCTCATCCCCTCTCATCTTGCCTATGGAAACAGTCACCCCCGTTGTCCTCCCTACCACAAACTTCTATGCCCAGTCTAACTTCCACAGTTATCCAGTGGGTATTCCTAAAGCATTGCTCTGACCCTGTTCCTGCCCGGCTCTAGGACTTCCAATGGCTCCCTATGACCTTTGGGATCAAATACGAATCTCCTCTTTGGTATCTGAAGTCCTTCGAAGTGTGGCTCCACCCTCCCTTTTCTAGGCTTCTTTCACATTACTGCTTCTTCCCCATGCTCTCTGATTTCCAGCCTAATTAACCCCCTTTGCTTTGATCTGAATCCCCTAGGAACTGCCTAGCCTACTACTGGGTGTAAGTAAATGTTTGGACTGGATTGGAAGACACCATGGTGAGACAGGGACTAAAAAGAGGCACATCCGGGTACTTGGGGGGGGTGCAAAATTTGGAGCTTCAATGTCTGAATCTCTGAGTGGGAAAGAGATAGGGGGAAGAAGCTACCTGAATCCTTAGGTGGAAAAGACTGGATGAAAGAAGGCTGTGTTCCCCAGGGGGAAGGAGCTGCAGGCAGGCGCTGGGGTCCCCTGGATCCATTAGTGGGGAGAAAGGCGGAGTGACTAGAGGCCTGGGTCCCAGTCGAGGTCTGGTCAGGCTTCTGTCCACTCTCACGCTGGTCCTGGGATCTCCGGTGGATTCGGAGCTGGAGGACTGAGGGAAAGCCGAGAGCGGGGTCACTGTGACCAGGCCCCGCCCCTCCCCCCACGCCCAAGTCCCCCGCCCGCTTCTGTGCGCCCGAAGGTCAGCCGGGAACCCAGCCTGCGCTGAATGGGGGAGGGGGAAGTCCTGTTCTCACAGCGGCCACTGGAGAGCCTAGGACACTGGGCCCTTGCACGCTTGACCTCCTGGCACCTGTATTCCCCTCCTCACACACTCCCTCCCTTCCCCATCCCTTGCACACTGGTCTCCTTGCACACTCCCCCGCCCTTGCTCTCAGCGTGTGCACAGCACTTCTTTCCTGCGTGCACATCGACCCTTCTCCCTTTCTCAATCCCCTTGCACACTCAGGCCGTGCACCGATCTCCCCGTGCACCCCCATTTCTGCACAAGCGGCCCTCCCAGCTAGATTCCCTCACCGGAGCGGAACTTGGAGCGGATGAGCTGGGAACACTGGGCCGAGGCAACGAGGGTCATGGCCAGGAAGGGGGCGGAGAGGAGCTGGTCTGAAAGGCGGGGGGTGGGGGCCTCCCGGAGCGAGCAGAGGGTCAGATTAGAGGGCCAGGGCAGAAAGGCAGTATTCACGTGGAGGGGTAAGGAACTTTTGTTTGTCCCCCTGGGGTCCAGGACATCTAGGTCCCCAAGGGAAAGAGAGTTTTTGGGGGAAGGAGCAGGTCCCTGAGGGAAAGAGTTTTGGGGGGAAGGAGCAACAGAAAATTCGAGAACTGGGAACGCCTAGCTTGTTGGTAAGGAGGGGACAGAGGAGAATGGATGGAAGTTAGGGACCAGTAGCCCCGGTCCTTGAAGGGATGGGGTAGCTGAGGGCTCTGATGCCGGGCTCGGGGGTAGGGACTGTGGGTCTGAACTCCTAGGTCCCTGAGGGCACAGGGACGAGGACAGGGGGGTTAGGGGCTGGGGGGAAAACAGGACACCTTCTCCCTTGAGGAAGGTTGGGGGGCATCTCACCAAGTGGAATCAGGGTCGCAGGAGTGCAATGTATCTAGCCGGGTGCAACCGCAAGCCTTGAGACCCCAGGCCCCTCCCTCTCAGGCCAGACCTGCCTGTTCTCCGCCCTTTCGCGACCGCCCGGAGTCCTCCAGAAGAGATTTAGTAGTCATTGGCTTATAGGGTCCTTTGCAGGGTTGGAGGGTCAGGGCGGGGAGAATAGGGGATGGGGTGGGGGTAGGAAGGGAGGTGGTGGAGGATGGAAGGCCGGGACACCTGGGTCCCGAGGCTCCCTTACTCCATGCTCTGACCCTGGTGCCGGGGGAAAGGGGGAAGGCATTGGGGTGGCCAAGGAGGGGGAGGGAGAGGGCCGGGGCCGCCAGGGATGGACAGTCGCAGGTGCGGGGGCGCGGCCCCCAGCGGGAACCACCTGTTGCTAGCTTTTTCCCTGACGCTGCGCTGGGTATCAGGTTCGGGGGAGAAAAGAGTTCAAGCTGGGGCTCGGGACGCCTGGGTCCTCTAGGGACTGGGGCTGAGAAAGTGGCCTCGGGTTCCCGAGGGTGGGGGAATGGCCAAAGGGACCCCTGTTGTGCCTCAGTAGTTAGCGGGGCAAACTCCCGGATTCCTGAGACGGTGGCCCTAGGAAAGGGTAGTCTCCGAATTGGCGAGGCTTGAGGGTTCTCCGAAGGGTTTGAGCTTGGGGGCGGGAATCCTTGAATTTCCGAAGGGGATGAGGCTGGGGAGACCCTGGGGTACCCAAGTGGCTGTGGGGGGTGGGAATTCCTTGGGTCTCCAAAGGCGCGAGGCCTGGCGAAGGAATTCAAGAATCTTCAAGGCATGGGGAGGGAACTGCTGAGCCCAGGGGTGAGGGTCGAGGGGGAGCTGGAAAAGCAAACACTGGAGAGGGGATCTCTGAAGGGGCTGGGCTTGAAGAATGGCTCCGGGGGGGGGGAGGACTTGGGGACGGGAATCCTTGGAGCTCCGAGGGGACGAGATTGCGAGAGACCCTGAGGGACCTGTGGGGCTGGGGATCCCATGGGTCTCGAAGGAAGCGGCGCGTGGGTAGGGGACGTTTGCCTGGTCAAGGTTTGAAGGACTCCTGGATCCCGGGGAGATGAGGTTGGGGAGGGGACGCCTGGGAGTCCGAAAACCTGACATCTCTCGGGACACGTTCCCCACGAGGACACGCTTGGGGTCCAAGCCCCGAATTTCTTTATTTCTCCGGAAAAAAAATCACGGCACCCCAGGGAGCGCCTGAGAACTTCAACTCCCGGCAGGCCCGTGAACGCCCCCGCGTGTTCTTTCCAGGTTTAGGAACTGGGACTAAGGAGGATGGGGGAGGGGCGGGGTGGAAGGAACTACAATTCCCGGCAAGCCTCGACGCCCGATCACGGCGACGAGGCCACGGGGAGCGCGTGGCGCTGATTGGCTGGCAGCTCTTTCTGCTCCAGGTCCCCAGAGCAGGCGGCGGAGCCTGCGCAGTTCGGCGTGCAAAGAATCATCCGTAATAGGCCCCGAAAGGCGCAGGCGCGAACCACCCAGCGGCAGGATCAGGGGAGGGTGCGAAGAGAAGCTCTCGAAGATGTCTCCTGGCGGGGTGGGGAGGGATAGTCAGAGCGGAACCAAGATCTCTGAAGGGATTGGGGTGGGGATCGGGGTGCTTTGAAACGCCTCGGTTACCGGAATGGGCGCTCTCCTTTCAACTACCGCCCCCCACGTCCTAGCTCTCTACGCCGGCCAAGAGAACTACAACCTCCAGCAGCCCCAGTGGCCGTGTCCTTTTCGGGCTGCCTTCACCCACGCCCACCCACGGCGCGAGGCATGGCGGGATTTGTAGTAATTTTTGTACCCGGACACTCCCAATTCCCACCACGTGGGTCTGGTTAATGGAAGACCGTGGCGTCTGTGGAGCTAGGGAAAAGAGCCTGGGTCCGCTGCGGTAGGGCATCAGAGGAGCACAGTTCTATAGCTGGAAGCAACGTCAGGGGTCCTCCAACTCAGTTTGCTCATCTTACAGATGGGGAAACTGAGGCCCAAGGGAGGGCGGGGCTGGTGGAGGGAGCTCCTCACCCGTGTCCATAGCTTCCAGCTCCGCCGGTGGTGGCTCCCAGGCTGGGGGAGGACCGCGGCCAGGGCCCAGCTGGTAATGGCTGAGCACGTGGTGAAGCTGGGCGGGGCTCAAGGTGGGGTGCTCTGCCCGAAGACTGCTCCAGGAAGCCTAAGAGAAGAGAGAGGTAGGGGTGAGGTGGGGGAAATCAATGTTAAAGGTCAGAGGTTTTTGGTTTTTGGAGACTGTGGTGGACGGGATGCCTACACATGATGGTGTCTAAGAACGTGGAAGCCCTTCAGAGAACCCCAGAGTTTTACCAGGCTAGTGTCCAGGTGATAGGCCAAGGGCCTGGGATCCGAGAGCTAGCACTGAAAGGGAGTTTGGAAGTCATCTAGTTTAGTTCCCTTAATCTGATCGAGGAAGAAACAGGCCCATAGAGATGAAGGTTAAGTGACTTACTCCAAACCCACGCAGGTACTAGGTGTGAGCTGGGATCTGTACTCTCATGTTTTGAGTTAAATTGGAGAATGGTGCTTGAACAATGCTGACCACAGATCACATCTTCTCTGTCTACTCAACCCTAAGACAAGCTGGGGGAGCTTCCATCCCACTGACACAGTGGCAGCCAACTGGGGTCTTGCCAGTGTGGGCATCTCCACATCTGTCCTTCCACCTCAGGCTTTCCCTCTACCCTGTGCTCTGGGAACAGTAAGTTAACAGTCCTGTTGCTTCTGAGAAGGCTGTGACCATCTGCTGCCTCCAGGACTCCATCAGAATCTCTGGGATTCTAAGTCAAAACTGGCCTGTCCTTGCTCTCCACTTAGCCCCACCTCTCTGACTCTGCCTTCCCTTTCCATCATGCCCAGTGGATTTGCCCTGGCCATTCTTCCTGCCTAGAATACACAAGTCTTCCAATCTCAGCTTTCCTGGCCCCCTCAGTCATTAGGACCACTCATAGATCCTGTATTTAATCTGTGAATGTGTTGTTAATCCCATGGAACAGGGGGTGGGGAACTTGTGGTCTCAAGGCCACATATTCTGTGAAGCTTGGATTCAGCGCAAGGGCCGAACTTAAGGGCTTAGAGGACCCACGTGTGATCTTTATTAGTGTCTGGTGCTTACCAGATGCTTGCTGGATAATGCTTGTTGGTGATCACTACGTCGTCCCTCATGTCCTCTGCCTGCCCACCTGCCTACCTGTCTGTCCCTGTGAGGGGCTGGCAATTCATCACCTTGAGCAGGGAAGTCCTTGGCACACACAGCAGATTGACAGCCATGGAAAGCTTTCGGAAGAACTCAGTTGCGATGTCCCCCAGCCCTGCGCCCTGAAGCCAGTCTAGAACAAGGTCCAGGTTGGTCCGAATCTGCACTGCCCGAGACCACTGGTAGAAGGGACGGCCCTGACCTGGAGAAGTAGGTAAAGGAGACAAGAGCCAGTGATCCTCAGAGAGGGGTGGCCACCTAACCCCTGAGATTCCTTGGATTTGGCCTCCCAGCTTCCCCCACTCATGCTCACCCCTCTCCATTAAGGAGTTGAGCAAGGATGCATTGGAGAAGAAAAACAGGTAGCCGAAGGTCTGGGACACCAGGTCTGGGTGCAGCTCACACTGTCGGGTCAGTTCCAAGGCTGTCTGGAACACTTCCAGGGTGGGCTTCAACCCCGGGGGCATGGCAGCCAGCTCTGCCCCAGGACCTGGAAGCTCTGCCCCTGCGGTGAAAGGGTTGCTGTCCAAAAGCGCAGGCAGCGTGGAGTACAGCGTCTGAACACAAGGGGGCAGAGGAAGATAGTAAAAAGCTAGACAGCCAACTCCCAGCAGTCCCCAAAGGCTCTCAAATATTAGGGACAGGAAGGAAGCTGCCCCAGCCCCCAAGGACCTAGATGAGATGAGAGGTCAAAGGACCACTGCATAGCCTTAACCTGGGAGGAAACTCAGGCTCAGAGAGGGACAGGGCCACGTTACCTGGAATTCCTCCAAAGGGGAAAGAGACAATTAAGGAGGGGAGAAAGAGTGAGGAAGCTAGTTTGAGTCAGGCCAGCTAGGGAAACAGACCTACAGAGGAAATGGGATGGCCACCTCATCTGGAACAGGAAGCTGATTCAGAGTTGCAATGGCCATCCCAGCTGGGGCGGGAGCCAGAAATCATCCATTCCTAGTACCCAGGGGGAAGCTGAGGCCTACAGAGTTGCAGTGCCTAGCCCCTGGGCCCACAGCACCCCAACTGGGGTTCACCGGCCCCCACTTCTGTTGGTGACAGGAAAGGAGGCAGAGTAGCAGCAAGTGAAGTCCGGGCAGAAGCAGGCAGTGAAGGCTGTGTAATAAGTAGGGCCACGCAGTCACAGGAAGGGAGGCATTGGAGGGCCAGCCTTGGAGGAATGGCATTGACAAGATGGGCCAAAAAAAATGGGGAAGGGAGTGAGACCCTCAAAGGAACAGGAAGTGAGGGCAGAGCAGCAAGAAGGTGGGGAAGGGCTAGGGATGCTGGTGAAGCCTTAAGGGGGTCACAGGAAAGGAAGTGAGGGCAGGGCTGGGGGCTATGAGGTCACAGGGCAGGGAGTGAGGTCAGCATCCACGGCAGCAAATGAAGTCAAAGTAAATGAGGGCAGGGCTCTGGACCCTGATGCTGGGAAGAGGTCAGTCACAGGGCAGGAAGTGAGAGCTGGACCCACCTTGGTGAGGTAGTAGACTGACTGTTGGAAGGTGCACATGATGACCTCATCGAGCACTGCCATGGCCTCATCACACAGCTCAAGGTCACTGCAGAGCTGGGGGTCTGAGGACAGGCCTGGAATAGAAAAGAGAGAGCTGGGGACAAATGGTGGATAGGGTCCCCATTGGCCCCCACTGCTGGTATGAGGGCTGTGGCAAAGCAGGAGGGCAGAAGATGTTAACCCTAAAATGTAGGCAATATGTGCCTGCTGACTTTGCAGGTCCCTGTAGGGGTAGCCATGGGCAGGAAACACCTGTCCCTGAGAGGTGGAATACATGGGCTAGCTCACATCTAGGGGCAAGGGATCCTGGTCCCTATGGTGTAGGGCACACTGGCCAGCCAGATGCCTGGGGCCCTCCAGCCTTCCCTAGAGGCACGCTAATCTCTAAGATGTAGGAGATCCTGGCTGGCTGGACACCTGGGTTCCATTTGGGAGAACCATAGGGCAGGAGAAAGCTGTCCCTGAGAGGTTTGGGACATCCGGTAGCTGGATGCCTGTACCCCTGCAGGGCCAGGACTCCCACTTTCATCTCACCCTCCTGGTCAGCCTCTTTCTCCATGTCCAACACCTTCTCCTGCACGTAGCTGAGCAGCTCCGTGGTGTTTGCCATCCATGACATCAGAGGCCGCAGCTCAGCAGCCACTGCCTCGATGCTCAGTGGTGCCTCTAGAGACCCCTCTGGCTGGCTGTGGGGAAACAACCCAGACGGCCCTGGGGTGACCAAAATAAACTCCCCACAGTCTGGATCCCACCCCTAGGGGTTCCCCAACCCTGATTCACACCAACCCTAATGAGGTCTTACTTCTCTGGCTGTCGGTCTCCAATTTCCTTGATCTTCTCCTGAGAGGAGCAAAAAGAAAAAGTAACAAGTGGTCAGGTTAGGGCAGTAGGAGGTTTGAGGTCCAAGTGATTGAGAATAGGCATGATGGATAAAGTGAGGTTTGCTTTTACATGAACAAAGAGAAGGGCATCAGGAAACAAGGGATTGAATTGAGTTCTGCTCTCACCCACACCCTACTGTACCCCTCATCTGCCCTCAATGGGGAGTCCCTATCAGTGTCTCACTTTTCTTAGCTCTGTAAAGTAAGTGGTGATATGATAACAGGTGGCTTCTAAGGGCCTTTTTGGTTCTGAAACTCTTCAGTTCTTAATACATACATACATACATACATATATATATATATATATAGATTTGAAGTCAAAGATGCTAAAGTTTCAGGACTTGGCACTCTGTGCCTAAGGTTCTAAGAATCAAGATTCTGTAATTCCAAAGTTCTATATATCCAAGGTTCTAAAATGCTAGAAGATTCAGAGATTCTAAGGTCTTATGGTGCCAAGGTTTTATTAGTCCAAGATCCTACGAGTCCAAGCTGTATCAAGAGCCCAAAATTATGAGTCACCATAATTCTGAAGTTCAAGATTCCATAAGACCAATGTGGTAATTTCTTTGGCTTGACTATACATGTTTGTGACAAGTTTGGTTTTTCTTGCTTTCCCAATTGGGGAATTGGGGGAGGGGGGAGAAGGATGGGAGAGTAAGAATTTGGAACTGAAAGTAAAACAAAATTGAATTTTAAAAATAACCTATAAGTTCAAGATTCTATAAACCTAAAGCGCTACGTTTCCAAGAATTTAAAAGTCTAAGATTCAGTGAAGTTTTTAGATGTCAAGGCAGTTAGATGATACATTCATGAAGTTCAAATGAGATAATATTTGAAGCATTTTGAAAACTTTGAAGCATAAACAGTAACTATTATTATGATGAGCTCAAAATCCTGTGACTCTAAGTTATAAGAATCTAAGAGTTTGAGATTCTATGTGTCCACGTTTTGAGTCCAAAATTATATGTCTAAAATTGTGTACTATTTATATGTTATATGAAATTAAAAGTTAAATGTCATCTAAGTCCAAGGTTCTACATGTCTCAGATTCTATAAGTCTCAGATTGTATCAGATTCTGATATTCCAAGTTCAAAATATTATGAGTACAAGATTCTGTGAATCCAAGATCTAAGAGTCTAAAATTCTATGAGTCTAAAATTCCAAAAGTTCAAGGTTCTATGAGCCCAACGTCCTAAGAATCCAAGTTTCAAAGAGTTTAAGGTTCTAAAAGTCCAAGATTACATGAGTTCAAATCCACAGTCTGAGTTCAAGATTCTGAGTCTACAATTCAAAAGGTTTAAGTTTCTAGAAGTTCAAAGAAGTTCAAAAAGAACTTCTAAAGAAGTTTTTTTTTTTAAAAAAAAAAAGGCCCAAATTTTATGAGTCTAAGATTCTAAGAGTTCAAGGTTCCCAGGATCATGTTATATGACTGCAAGGTTCCAAGAGTTCCCTTGAGGAACAGATCTTGAATCCATGATTATAAGATGCCAAGATTCTCTGAGACTTTATTTCTTTGGACCTAAAGGCAGATCCATTGAGCAACGGATGGGAGTTGGAGAAAGGAACATATTCACAGATGTAAGTCAAGCCTAACAATGTGGAATGGGGTACCTTGGGAAGTCATGGGTTCACTCTCACTGAAAGTTTGCTTTTTGTTTTTTGTTTGTTTGTTTTTGTTTTTGGTGAGGCAATTGGGGTTCAGTGACTTGCCCAGTCACACAGCTAGTGAGTGTTTTGTGTTTGAGACCGAATTTGAACTCAGGTCCTCCTGACTGCAGGGTCGGTGCTCTATTCACTAAGTCACCCATCTGCCCCCACTGAAAGTTTTAAAGCTGCAGCTGGATTTTTGTTTTATGTACATATATGTTGGATTAGATTGGCTTCCAACTTCAGGACTCTGATCCCAAGTCAATGTTATGTGTCTAAGATGGAAAAATCTGGCTCTTCTCATAAGTAAAATTTAAGGCACGAAAGTTCTGCTTCAGACCATGCCTGAGCTGCCTCCTCAGCCCTCCTGATGCCCTCCCTAGGCAAGCACCCCAAGGATGCCTCACCCAGACAGCCTCCTTGACCAGGCGAGCTAGACGGCCCAACAGCCGAGGCAGATGGCCAAGCTCCAGTTCTCGGGCGGAATGCTCTACACACATTGCAAGCAGGGTGGCTGGGCCCAGTGCGGGCAGTTGCGTCCCGGTCCCCGCCGCCCGCACGATCTCGCCCAGAAGTGCCTCCTCCTCCTTGGGCCTAAAGCGCAGGACAGGCTCTCTACCATCCAGATAGGCAGCCAGGGCCTCCCCCTGCTCCTGCAACCCTCTCCCACAGAGGCGGCAACAGAACGCCCAGCCGGGGCCTGGAGGGGCAGCCAGGGGCCGAGCAGGGAGCCAGGGGGGCCGACCAGCCTCAGCAACTCGGGGGTCCTTGTACAGGAAAAGGAAGTGTTCGCCCAGACCCAGAAGGTCACCAGGCCTCAACTCGGCTTCCCGCAGCAGCTGCCCCCCATTATGGGTGACAGCAGCACCCCGGGCTGGGCGCACGTGGGCTGGGCCCTCGGCTCCCGCCCGCACTGTACAGTGTCGGGCTAGGATGTCAGGCGCATTCAGGAAGGTGTCCACGTGAGGGGCCTGAGCTCCGCGGGCCCCCGAGCTCCCTCCACCCTGTCCAAACACGTGTTGCTCCCGAGTCATCACGTACACCACGAACTCCTGAAAAGAGAAAGGCCCAGTGGGTGAGGTTGAAGAAAGCTACGAAGACGCCCGACTCCTCCTCCTCCCCATTTCAGGAAGGACCTAGGGCAGAGCTCGGATGAAGAAACACTGGCTAATTGGTTGCCAAGGCAAGAGGATTCCTTCCATCCCCACCTCCTCCTCCAGACAGGCTATCCTTCCCTAAGTGAACTCTCTCATTCCCCTTCAGATCAGCGAACCACTCTCCCCTCTGCTCCTCTGGGTGGTCTCCTGCTTTCTTAGTAAACTATGCTTCCCACCCGTTCTCACCTAAAAATGGGCTCTCCCACCTCTCACTTCTACGATTTCTCCTCCTCCCAACCTCTCCCCTTGCAATGATGGCCTTTACGCCTTCTGGGAGTTGTAGTCCCGCCGTCGGGGCGGCCTCACCTGTGCCTCTCGGTAACCCTTTAGCATGAGGAAATAGGGGCGGCTGGAGGGTGGCTGGATGAGACACTGCACCAGTTGGTCCCAGTCGGCAGTGGCGTCTAAGGAGTCAGACTGGGCCGGGGCCGAAGCCGGTGAGGGCGAGCCGGGCTCCCCCGGCCCCGGGGCCAAGCTAAGTGCCTGCTGCCTCCGCTCCTGCTGCCGCCGCCGGCGGCCCTGGAGGCTGAGCTCTGACACGCTGCGCCTCAGTGATAGGTTCTCGGACCGCTCTTTAGGGCCAGAGCCGGAGCCAGACGCCGCGCTGGGGGCTGGTCCCGGCCCCGGCCCCGGGCCCGATGCAGCCCGCGATCGGCTTTTCGGGGGCCGCCACGATGGGCCCCCCAGGCCTGCAGGGCATGGACACCAAGAAAGATGTACACCCAGTCAGAGACAGAGACTTAAGAGACAGAGACAGCGAGAGGAATGGGGACAGAGGCAGAAAGCCATTGAGATCGAAGTGCAGAGTGAGGAGAGACACAGAGAGAAACGACCCAGGGAGTTTGGTTAGACAAACACGGAGACCCCCAGGACAGAGAGGTTGGGGTGGGGGGCGTGATGCGGAAAGGACAAAGACCAAGAGAACTCCGCGCCAAGGGAGAGAAATAAGCCGAGATGGAGCCAGACCCAGGGAGAGAACGAGGCTGGGGGTCCGGGGCAGGGGGAGGAGGAACAGGATAGAGACGGAGAAGTGCGCACCAAGAGGAGAGAAACGAGCTAAACAGACGGAGCGGGAAGGAACAGCCCAGCCCACCTGCAGCCCCGCCCCGCCCCGCCCTCACCATCCTCCTGGGCTGCAGCCGGGCCCTCCTCCTCCAGCCTGCGCGCCTCCTCCCGGCCGCGCAGCTCGAAGCGCCGGCCCCAGCCAGGCCGCGGGCGCCACAGCTCCTGCACCAGCAGGGGGCGCTCGGAGTCGCCCAGGACACGCACGTGCTCTGCCCGCCATTCCCCAGCTCCTCCGGAGGCCGCGGGTGGCCTGCCTAGAGCATCGCATAGCGCGAAGGCCTCGGCTCCTCCCCCCGTGACCCCTTCGCCGCCGCCTCCAGGCAGCCCGCCGGCCGCCAGACCGTAGCGCTCTAGGGCCTCAGCCACAAGCTCGCGGGCCGTGGAACGGGGCGTGGCCAAGACGCTCTTATAATTGGTGCCCGAGGCGAGGCCGCAGCCAAAGATCTTCAGCACACCCGGGGCCGGGCTGGGGCCCCCGAAGCCCGGGAGGCCCCACGAGGCCGTCTGGGGCTCGGGACCCACCGCTCCAGCCAACCCTGGGAGCTTCTTCTCGCTGGCCCAGCGTTGGGCCCCAGCTCCAGACCCAGGGCCCGCCCCGCCTCCAGACCCGCCCCCACCCCCGGTGCCTGCCCCTTGGCCCCGGAACAGCTGGGAGATGCGCCGGGCTCGGCTCCCGGAGGCACCCCCTGCTGCCTTCACGGCCCCCACTCGGCGTAGCTCTGGGCCGGAATGACCTGAAGAGGTTGGTGCGGGGTCACTGCTGCGGCTGCCCGTGTCCGAGGAGGAAGACCTGCAGAGGTCAGGGATGCAGCGGAGATTGAGAGCGACAGAGACGTCCAGAGATAGATAGAGGCACGCCGAGACAGGGGAGAGGAGAGGCAGAACCTCCCGACAATGACAGAGGCTCAGGGAGAAAGATGTAGAGAGACGTGGAGAAGCAGGGAGACAGAAAAACAGAGGAAGAGAGACAGAAAGAGACAGAGAGACACGAACAGAGCGGGAGAGGGGAAAAGAAACAGACCATCCGTCAAAGGGAGGGGGAGAGCGAGAGGGAGACAGAAAGACAGACGCACGGAGGAAGGAAGGGGGGGAAGGGAGACGAAGAGGCGGGGAGAAGTAGAGGGAAGGAAAGGGGGGGAGAGAGAGAGAGAGAGAGAGAGAGAGAGAGAGAGAGAGAGAGAGAGAGAGAGAGAGAGAGAGAGAGATCCAGTCAGAAAGAAAAAGAAAAAAGGGAGACTCATGAGACAGAGAGTGGGGACGGGGGAGGCCTAAGGGGGAGTCAGACACGCTGAAGCATGGGGGTGGTCTTGTAGGGGCCCTGACACTTGCAGGGAAGGGAAGACTTGCGGCTCCTTGATCTGTTAGAGTTAAGGGTAATGGACTCCTAGGACCCCGAGAGAACAAGAAGCTGGGGTCCCTGAGAGGGGTTCAAATCCCCCTTCCGTCTGGATCTCTCGAAAGCCAGCAGGGACGCCTGAGGCAGGAAAGGGTGGAGTCTCAGATCTCCAACAGCCGGGATCCCTGGAAGGCTAAAGAGGACATAGGGGATGGGGACTTCTGGGTCCCTGGAGTGGGGGGGTGGAACTCGCACTCACTTCACTGAGGCCGCGCTGGGCCAGCGGCGCCCCAGCTTCGCCAGCTGCTTCCGCGGGGAGTTGATCCAGAGGCCGGCGGGGAGATGGAGCTTCCCGAAGCGGGGGCTCCCGCTCTCCTTCCGCTCGCCTGACAGCATCTCCTGTGGGGATATTATAAGACCTGGATTCTCAAACGGGAGAGGGCATCCGGAGAGAAAACCACGGTCGCAGAGAGATTAGAGACCCTGAGACTCACCCTCCTCCCGAGGCCGCGGCGTGTGGCTCCCGAGGTGAGGTTTGGGTCCTGCTCCTGCCTGGATCCTGGTGCTCCTGGCTCTGGGTGGGAACAGGACAGGAAAAGGCAAGAGGAAGCCGGGCAGGAAGAGCGGGGAGGGGGCGTCCTGTCAGGGGCGGAGAGGGGGGGAGGGGAGCGAAGCTCGGCTAGGACGGGCATGACCTGGGCGTCCAGCGCCCCCCAGCGCTAGGCCAATTCTGTTTCTTCACTTTCCGCGCCTTTGGGGACCCAGCCATCCAAGTCCTAATACCATCTCCCTGAGGAACGAAAAGTGACTGGGTCTCTAATCCACTCTGGAACCCAGGCCAGCGCCCTCGGGCATCCAGGAGTCCCCTCCTAGACCTGAACTGAGTCACAGACACAAAGGAGGAGGAGACGTTTTTATTGACTGAAGGGTAAGGGTGCCCTGGATCTGCGCATCCCGGGGCCGAAGAATCCTTCCAGGAACATTGGCTGCTGGCATTCCCTTGGCCTTACTTACTCGCCCGGCCCAGGTCTAGGCCCGCCCTGCGGGCGCAATAGAGGCTAGAAGGAAGGCCAGAGAGCGTGAGGCAGCCTGCGGCATCTTGAAACCTTTCCCTCACTAGCCTCCAGGAATCCCTTGCCAGTGGGGCAGCCTGTCAGGCCCTGTCCCTTCGACCCTGTCCCCTCCCCGGTGACGCCGCCCCATAGGGCTCCAGCCCCTCCAGCTCTGGCTTGGCCTGGGTGGTTAACTACCGGGTCTGGCAGCGCCCAGTGCTCACGTCAGCGCCAGACTCCCCAGCACTGCAGCCGCTGCACCAGCGACTAGCCAGATCAGGGTGATGTTGAGGATTCTGGCGGCGTTTTGGCCTGAGTCCGCGAAGACTTCTCCGTGGTCGGTGCACGGGTCGAGCTCAAACTGCGGGCCGAGCTCAGCCTCCAAGCCGGCCTCAGCCTCGAACGGAAATGAAGTCCAAGTCACAATGGACTGTTCTTCTTCCTGGTCAACTGTGGGGGCGAGGCTTGTGACCTTGGAGTCCGCTGACCTGTCGGCGGGGTCCGAGTCGGGGTAGGGGCTAGACTCGGACCCACCACCGGATTCAGGTGGACACTGATCTCAGTCCTCGGACTGGGACCAGGATTCGGCCTTTGACCAGAATCTAAGGACTTGGATTCTTCCTCCTCTTTCGGAGTCACTGCAGAGATGGGTTAGAAGAGGAACCAGACCCCGGCCCCAGCTCACAGGCCCCGCCCTCAGGGGCTAGCAGCTAGTTCTTGGCGCAGGCCCGCCCCCTGCAGCTCGGCGCTCCACTGTACCCCGAAACCCTTCCTGAGGCCCCGCCCGCAAGTGGTAGCGTGTAGATGGGTCTGCGAGAAAGAAGGCTGACCTTTTACGTGGTACGTGATGACTGTGGCTGGGCTGTGCTCGCGAATCGTACCCAAGATGCAACGATAGACACCCGAGTCTTCCAAGGACACCATGGGCTTGGTCAGGGTGGACTCTTGGCTCTGACTTACCAGGATTTCTGAGCCATTTGGCCAGACCTGGCCCCAGCCCCGGGGGATTAACATGCAAGGGTCAGGGCAGCTCCAGAGCCCGGCTGGGATCCACAGGGGCGTAGGGAGGCCGAGGGATCTAGAGTTTACACCGAGGGCCAGGCACGACATAGGACCCGGGAGCACCTAGGTCACAAATGGGGTCATGGGATCCCTGGAGCACACGGGGACCAAGAGGGTTCCACTGCAGTCCTAGGGGGGAAGATCACTTCTAAGGTAGCGCGGGTCCTACGGCTGTCCCTTGGAACCACTCCCGGGTCGGTGGGGCCCCTCAGGTATTTGGGAGTAAATACCCTGTAGAATCTGTAGTCCGTCAGACCTTCGGCTGCTTTATGCCAACTCAGTTCACAGTCCAAGACCAAGTCATCGTTCTCCGTCACCCGCACGCTTTGTGCTGTAGATAGGAGTGACTGTCAGCCTCACGTGAACGACGAGGTCCCACCCCAGCTTCTCACCTCATCCCCAGCTTCCGATCCCGCTCACCCCCGCAATCGTAAGACTTTTGACACGAGTGCACCTGTTTCTCACACCCATGGCACCAGATGAGGGTCTGCAACATGAAGCCTGCGAGGAGCGGCGGGATGGGGAGAGGGCGGGGGAGAGATAAGGGCGAGGAGAGGTCCAGGGGGCTAGGAGGTGTCACCAAATCCCGAGGGGGCAAAGCCACAGGACAGGGCCCTGAGGGACCGCAGAACTGGGGCTGGGAGGGGAGAGGAGAGGAGAGATGGACACGAGGGTACCCGAGGGCCAGGCGCTCACCGCATTTGTTGGGACAAAGACCTGTGGCGAAGAAGAGAAGTAGAGATCCGGGTTTTACCCAAGTGACGGGGGTTTGTGCCTGGGTCCCCGAAAGAGCGGGGGCTGGGGGAACGAAGAGCCTAGTTGGGGGGGGCTGCCTCAGAGGAAGCCTAAAGTTCCCTGAGGGCATTGGAGTCACCAAAGTCACTGAGGGAGTGGGGCTAGGACCCAGAACCTGGAGCCCCTGAAGGAGGCTCAGGTCAAAGGGCACAAGGCTCCCCAGGGAGAGTGTTGCAAAGGTCATAGGGCTCCCCGAGGAGAAGGGGGGAAATTGTGAGGGATTTCTCGAATGAGCTGGGCCCCCTGAGGGTGCGGGAGCAAGCTGTCCTGGGGGCTTGGCAATGGGCTCAGGACTCCCAGTCCGGGCAGGGCAAACGCCACCGGTCTGCCCAAGGGAGGCCAGCCTGGGGAGCTAGGCCCTCCAGGTCTCTTCCTCACTTTCCCTCTGGAACTTCACAGCCAGGCGAATGAACTGCTCCTTCTGCATATGCAATGTCCAGGTGAGCTCCTTCAAGAGGAAATCGTCTGCAGGGAGCAGGGGGCGCATAGTCGGGGAGCTTCCCTGGACTCCCCCTTCTCCGGCCTGATGCCTGGAGCCCCTAGCTACGACCCACCTCTGAGGCTGCTGTCTCTGATTCGCCTTAGCTCTTTCAGGAAGGCCCAGGACGCTTTGCTCAGCGTGGGCTCATCTGTAGAAAGGAGGTTAGGGAGAAATGGGCCTCTGGCGCTCAGCCAAGTTGGCCGAAACCTTTCCTCTAAACACCGCCCCTCCCCGCCCCGTCCCCGCCTCCAGTCCGCGGAGTGTGCTTGCAGGGCAGACAGGCGCCCCGCTAGATCCCGGGGGCTGCTCTTCACCTATGACGCCCTGGTAGGCGTTCTCCTCAACCGGAAGATCGCTAAACTGTTGCATAGTCTCCTCCAGCCGGTTCACTAAAGTCTGCAGAGCTTGGGGGTCCAAGTCCATGTGGCTGGGCAGGTAGTTCTGCTCCAGATCTCGTAGTCCCGCCACCACTGCGGGGTCGCAGAGCAAGCATCCCCACGCTCGGCGCTGGCTCAATGCTAGGGCCAAGACCACGAACCCCAGGGGCAACGCGGAGCGTAGAAGACTGCCCATGCAGGTTAGGGAATCCACCACAAGGCTCCTCTGGGCGTATCCCTAAATGCAATTGTCACAAGCCCTGAGCCAGTGAGTTCCACGCGACCCCCAAACTCTAACTGCCATTGAGACCCCAAAGTGAAGGGTACTTTGCAAATGTAAGGGGACCCTTCGGATGGGAAAAATCTCAAAGCATCCTGAAACTGAAGGGCCTCCAACTGAGGGAGTTCCCCTAAATATAATGGGGACACCTCCTGAGCCTTTGATTATGAAGTGATCCTCAAAGAAGAAAGATTCCAAAGCACAGTAAAATCACTCTGGGGCTGGGGTTTGCCCTGTCTATTTCCACCTGGTTCCTCCCCTCCTCTCCCCCCTTCCCAAAGAGGGACACGTGGGTGGGGGGGAGGGACGGGCTGGGGCGGGGTTAGCCTTGTCGCTTGGCCCAGAAAGCTACCACCCACCTTGCAGATGCGCCGCCTTAACTACATTGCCCATAAGTCACCACGCCTCGGGGACATGGTCGTTCTGTGAGGCCAGCGCTCCCTACGCACTGCTGGGAGCTGTAGTCCCACAGCAAACAGGAAAGCGGGTGGGGTGGGGATCCTAGAACGGTCCCCTTCTCCTCTCTGAGCTCCTGTGGACGATATCTAAGCCCTTATTGGGCTCTGGGAGTGTGAGCCAGGTCAGGAGACTCCCACGTGAACAGTTGCCTTCTCCACGGACCCCAGACGCCCCGCTGCCCCTACCCGTTCTATTGGACATTGATTTGGTGGGCGACCGAGGTGCTAGGCAAGGACTCCCCTGTATGACCTCACAGGGCCGTGGAATCCCGGATTGTGACTGGGAGTCCTGGGAACACCCGAGGGAGTCAAGTTCCAATCTTCTCACGCCCCGCTGCAGCCCGAGTGGGCAGTGCGGCCCCAGGACTACGACTCCCAGCAACCCGTGGGACAGTTGCTTCCTTGGCTGATCGAGCCCCAAACCCAGGGCGCTTCTGGGAGATGCAGTCTGTTTCGCGTAGTGCCTGTATTCCATTAAGAAGAGAGGCATCTGGATGCCAGAGCAGGCGGGCACTGGGGAGGGAGTGCCTGGGTCCCCCAGAGGATAGGCACTAGGCGGGGAGCCCGGGTCCTAGAGCAGGCGGGCACTGGGGATGAGACACGAGGGCCCCAGAACAAGTGGACTCTGGGAAGGGTATGCCTGGGTCCAGGAGAGGACAGGTACTATGGGGATGCGGGTGATGAGGATGGGATCTAGACCCCAAAAAGGAAAAGCCCTTAACTTGCCCACATGGCCAAATCTGTGGTGTAGGCTGAGGCTATAATCTCATCAACTGGTTTTTCATTGTGGCTACACCCAATCTCCCAATTTCCTGTTCCATTGTCTTACCTCGAAAAGGCCCCAGGCTACTTCCCACCTTTAATCCTATCTAGGCTCCATTCTCCCTTGGCCACAAATCCAGATCCCTGGAGTTCTATTACCTCATAGACTACTTGGCCACTCCCAGATCCCTCCCAGATCCCTCCAGTAGTTTTTCTGTATATAAGGTGCATCTTGTCTCCATTAAGATACTTGGATTCTTATAATCTAGCCAATAGCTCACAGGTGCTCAGATTCCTTAAGAGTCTAGCCAATATGGCAGATTTTTAATAAACCTTGTCTTTGGCTTGCATTGAATCGTGATTTTGGGATTCCAGCACCCCTAAACCTCTAGACCTCATCAAGGAGAGTATGAGTCCCAGAGCAGGAGGGCCCCAGGGAGGGTGTGCCTGGACCCCTGAGAGGATGGGCCCTCCAGTAGTGTAGAGAAGACTTTGAGAGTGTGAGTCCCAGTACCTGCAAGGGACTAGGGTTTCCAGTTTTTCTGCCTCTGCATTCTGAAAGTGCTTGTTTCCCGCCTAGACCCTGAACTCCCAATAGCTGCTGGGGCTCAGCCACTTTGGAAAGAGTGAGGATGACAGGTTGGGGCTTCAGGGGAGTATGGTCTTCTGGAACACCCTACCCAACACAATGGGCCCATCCTTCCAAAATAAAGGATAGAAAGTTCTAGAGCCAAGGAATTTTTAATTGGCCTTGTTTTTTTGTAAAAGTGTTCCCTAATATTTAAATCCCTGAGATAAATCCAAGAGGTTGGCCACTCCCTCCTCTCTCCCCCAGGTTTTCTTAGCCCTTATGGAAGAGCCTGAGGCTGGCTTCTGTTCTCTGGTTCCCAGCTTCCTTCCTCTTGAGGCACAGGTGGGGAAACTGAGGCAGTGATAGGGGTTAGAAGGACCTAGGTCTACTCCCAGAGGCTCACTGCTGGTTGCTAGGGCTGTCCAGCCACTACCCATCTCTTCTGGTTTTGGTTCCCTGCCCCCCCCCATAAAAGGGAATGAGAGGCATGGGAGTTTTCAGTTCTTAGGGTTCAGTCCCACAGTCCAGCGCTCTTCCTAGAGGGGTCCTCAAAAAATGTACAGTCTAATATCTTCATTTTACAAATGGGGAAACTGAGGATCAGGACAGGGAAGCCATTCACCAAGGTTACCCAGGGCCAGGATGGGAACCCAGGCCTCCTACAACCCAGTGTTCTTGGAATTAATTTACATTAGCATCCATCCACAGAGAGAAGGGGGTTACCAGGCCTTGGAGTGTCTCCCCTTGTGGAAGGCAGAGCCATCCCAAGGCTCGGGACCAGTGAGCCCTTGTCCATTCCCAAAGGACAGCATTGTGGGCAACTCTAGAACCTGAAGGACATCTCCCCATCCTCGAGCTGAGATCCTAGCTCTCTCACTATTACTGAGTGGTCCTGGGAGAGTTGTGTCTCCTATTGTCTGTAAACATGAAGGCTCCATGGCCGCTAAAATCATTGAAGCCACAGGCAGATCAGTGCAAGAGTGGGGAGAGGTCTGCAGGGATGCCCACCCATTCAGGCAGGAAGGCAGCCTGAGGTTTGAATACATTTAGGAGCTGGGAGTCAGGGAGGGTGTAGTTGGCCAGGTAGATGGTCTTCCCTGCAGCCAGGTAGGCTGCCCAATAGCCAAAGGTGCCGATGGTCATCACCGTGTGGTTGCATTGAGTCAGCAGCGCAAAGTCTGAGCCAGGTGCCACCTCGTCCCCGTCGCCGGCAAACACCACATCGCCCCTTGAGGGATCGATGTTCTCTCGGCACCACTCCATACCATTGCTGGTCACCACAAAAATGGCATCAGGGTAGCGCACCCGGAACCAGGCCAGGGCCTGCTCCAGGTAGGAGCCATCAGCCACCACGCCTCGCCAGTGCTTGGGCATGAGCTCCACATAGTCGCCCCTGCGGACGTGGACCCCCACAAAGGTGAGGCTTCTGCCCTTGCCCCTGCTGTGGCGGACCCAATGCAGGAAAGCCTGCGCATCTTCGTGGACATGGCGGTGCAAGGAGAATTCTCGGTGGATCTCAGCACGAAGGTGGTGGTAGAAGGTCCAGGAACAGGGGAAGCCAGTGAACTGCAGCATGTCCTGGCCACCCAGGTGGGCATACTCCTCTGCCATCCAGTCTTGAAGTGGGTAAAGGCGCCAGGGCATTCGGGCAGCCACCTCTTTGTCTAGTACTGGGAGGGTGACCTTGAAGACTGGGGCTAGGGTGGCATGCATGTCTGGCAGGATGAAGGCCTGCTTCCCATTCAGCTTGGCCAGGGCATAGAGGGTGGCATACTGGCCCATCTGGTTCCCAAAGCGCCCCTCTGGCTGAATAGTCCAGATGCCACTGGGCTCAGGGCTTGCTGCTGGCTTGTGGAGGGCCAGAGAACCACTGGGGCCTTGGGGTGTCCCTGGCAGGCAGAAAAGGGCCACTTTGGTTAAGCCTGGGCATTGCTTGTGGCACAGAGCAGAGAAAACCAGTTTTGGGGAGAAGCTGCCTTTCCAGAGGTGGAGAAAGAAGGACGTAACCGAGAGCAAGGAGGCAGCCAGGAAGGCCCAGCATAGTTGCCGGCGAGAAGGGATCCACATAGTTGTGGAAAGAAGCCAGGAACCTGAATCTGAGATGTTGAGGAGGAGGCAGGGGTACCCAGGGAGAAGGGGTGAGGTGACTGGGAGCAGAGGCTGGAAGAGTTAGGCCCTGGGACTCATCCAACTCACCTGGGCTTCAGGCTGGGGCCACCGTCTTCCTGCAGGGCTGCCCCCTCTTCCCCGGCCTCACTGGGCCTGGCCAATAGAGAGCTACAGGGGGGAAAGGGAGGGAAGGTGGAGTTCCACTTGCCGAGATAGAGCTCCTCTTTCCCTTTGGACTAAGCTCATCCTCTTGTTGCCAGGCAATGACACGACGAGCTCACGGCTGCCTTGCCCAAGCCAGCGCGGTCCCCCCGGGGGCCAGCCCAGAGCACCAGCACCCCGATCTGTGGATGTGTTCGGTCACCCGCATGGGTGGATGCCAGCTCCTGGGTCCCTCAACCCTGGAGACCTATCCTCCAGCTCCAGACAAAGCCCCACGCCAGGGAGGAGGCAGAAGAGGGCAGGGCCAAGACTGGCAGGGACTGGGAGCCCACCCTCCAGCCAAGGTGGGGTGTGACGGGAAAGTGAGGGAACGCCTGCGGGGCGGGGAGGCAGAGAGAACTAGTTTCTCCAGTTCAGCCTGGGAGGGAGGATGAACCAGAACGGATGTCACATGACTACTTTGTCTCTCTTCTGACTTTACCTATTTCAGAAGAGGGGCTGCCACCAGTCCTAGAAGGATCCCGACTTTGGCGTTATCCGTCACTCCTCCCTGTCCCTCATCCCATAGAGCCAGTCGAGGGTCAGTGAGTCAGTCAATAAACACTTAAGGGGTGCCTCCTATTCGCCAAGGCACTGTGAGAAGTGTACCGACCGCCACGATATCTCGGTCACTTACTGCCCTAGTCCAGAAGTCCCTTATCACCTCTCCCTGACCTCCATGCCTTGTCTCCCCCTCTCCAGTCCATCCTCCCCGCACTTGCCTAAGTGACCCCCCTAAAGCCTGGGTTTGAAATTAAAGCAACCTTCGTTTCCTCTCCCCCTCCCCACCCCCGTGTCCCCTCACACCCTGCACATTGGTGACAGAGACAAAGAGCGCAGGGTGAGCTCATTTGACGCACGAGGAGGCTGATGGGGTAAGTGACTTACCCGGGTGATCACGCAGCTAGTCAATGTCTGACTCCCGGCTCAGGACTCCGTGCACCGTGGCGCCCCCTCGCGGCGATCACTGTGGGAAGCCTGGCTCATTCACGCTCTGTCCAATCTTTCTGGAAGTGTCCAGGACCTTTGGTCCAGATATTCCACCGCAAGGCACATACCCCAAGGAGGTCGTTGACACAAAAGAAAGGTCTCTATACGCCAACATACTGATAGCGGTCCTTTTTACAATGGCAAAGAAATGGAAATAAAGTGGATGCCCATTGATTGCGTAAAGGTGGAACAAAGTGGTCCATGAATATGATGCAACACTTTTGTGCGTAAGAATGTAACGGGTCCAGAGGAGCGCGGAAAGACGCCCGACAGGACCTGGCGCCCAGATCCCACCTTCTGCTGGAAGCCTCCCCAAAGCCCCCTTGATTCTAGTGCCTTCCCTTGATCATGATCTCCTATTTATTCCATTTAGAGCTTGCTTCTCATCTGTTTACCTGCTGTCTCTCCCATTGGATTGTAATTTCCTTGCCGACAGGGACTGTCTTGTGTGTGTGTGTGTGTCCTTTTTTTTTTTGTATCACCAGGGCTTTGCACACTGGTTGGCACATAGTGGGTGCTTAGTGTTTATTAATTGTCACTAGAAAGATTGACTGACGCAAAACAATGGAAACCCAACACTAATATTAATACTAATAAAGACCAAGTCTGGCCCCAAAGAAGAGATGGGAGAAGACAACCCCCTACCCATTCCTCTAGGAGCAGAGGAACCATGAGTGTGGAGACCGCATATCATGTCAGATTTTTCTCCCATATGTCATTTGGTTCTGCTTTCTCTGAGTTTTTTTCTCTTCTTTCATATTTTTTAAAAAGTTTTTTTAAACGTCTTTTTATGGGGTGACTCTCTGGGACACAGGACAGAAGGGGAGAAATATAGTCAATATAAAAACAAAAGATAGTGATAATACATAATTTTCTAAGTAATTATTTATTTTTAACATTAATTTTTTAAAATTTTGAGTTCCAAATTCTCTTTCTCTCTCTTTTGGCTAGGCAATGGGGTTAAGTGACTTGCCCAGGGTCACACAGCTGGTAAGTGTTAAGTGTCTGAGACTGGATTTGAACTCAGGTCCTTTGAATCCAGGGCCAGTGCTCTATCCTCTGTGCCACCTAGCTGCCGCATAAATTCTATTTCTCTTGAGAAAGGAATTTATAATTTTCATATTAACCAATGATATGTGTAATGAATATACTAATAATTTAGTTTTCTCAAGGCTGCCTTTCTGGCTTGGGAGCTCACAATGCAGTTTAAACTGATCACTCAAAACCCTGGCAATGCTCACACTTGCTGGACCTTAAGCGAATCAAAGATTGTAGAACCTGTTCCTGTCACAGAACTCTGGTTCTGTACTTTAGGGCAGCTGGTCACAACTCCCAAAGACCTGGCTCCAGAATTGTATTGTGGGACTTATGGGTTTCTTGTGGGAAACCACTAAATGGTTGTTGTATTCTGCTTTCTCTCCCCTCCTTCCCCAGTTGTGATTTAAGAATATAACTTGTGCTTTTACTTCAGCTAGCAGAACATCCCTCACTCTGTAACTGATCAATTAAACTACCTGAGATTACTGGCACTCTCACCTCTAGGGCTGTTTTGTGTTTCTCCCAGCATTCTCAGGTTAGAGAATGGCTCAATGAAAATCCTGTTAACACTCCCAATCTCCCCCACCTGTTGTGAAAGCAAGGAGTCTGATATTAATTATACATGTGAAATCCTGAAAAACATATTTCTATATTAGCCATATTGCAAAAAAAGAAAAATTAAGAAAGTTAAAAGAATTATGCTTCAACTGTATTCAGACTCCATCAGTTCTTTCTCTGGAGGTGGAGAGCATTTTTTTTTCCCATGAGTCCTTTGGAATTCTCTCAGGTCATTGTGTTGCTGACAATAGCTAAGTCATCCACAGCTGATCATCATAAGGTATTGCTGTTACTCTGCACAATGTTCTCCTGGTTCTCCTCACTTCGCTTTGTTCATACCAATCCTCCCAACCTTTGAAACCATTCCCCTCATCATTTCTTGTAGCACAATAGCATTCCATTACATTCATATAACACAACTTGCTCAGCCATTCCCTAGTTGATGGGCATCCTCTCAGTTTCCAATTCTTTGCCACCACAAAAAGGGCTGCTATGAATATTTTTGTAATATGGGTCCCTTTCCCATTTGTATGATCTCTTTGGGATACAGCCCTAGAAGTGCTATTGGCTGGGTCAAAGGGTATGCACATTTTATAGCCCTTTGGGCATAGTTCCAAATTGCTCTTCAGAATGGCTGGATGTTTACAACTCCACCAACAGGACATTAGTGTCCCTATTTCCCCATATCCCTTCCAACAAACAAAATATATTTTTAAAGTGTAGATTTCTGGTTGATTCTAGGGGTCCTCTGTTGACTCTACCTTCAAATGTTATTTCTTTTTAAACTCCTAAAATTTGTTTCCGTGGATGTTTGATCAAGTACATAATTGTTATGACAGCAATAGACACATACCATTTGTCAATAAGTAAATCTCCACATATGTGAAGTTTGTGCTCAGCTCTTTTTCTGAGGAGGGTACAGGACCAAAAAACGTTCCGAGTCCTCATGCCCCGGTGGTTTCCTGCCACCATCCTCCCTCAGGTTCTCAGGGATCCAAGCCTTCCTCTCCCAGGACATTTCCAACCTCCTGTTCCTCAGATCTTGTGACCTCAGGTTGATTCAGGCCTCATTTGTCAGGAACTCTGAGCCGTAAGCGTCCAGGTTCCATCTCACAGGTCCTCAAAGACCCAGAGCGCCCTTCCCCGGGTATCTGACATCTCATCCTTCATACCCTGGGGACCCAGGGATCCAGGCTTCACCCTTGCTAGATACCCAAATGCCTGAGGAGCCCTCTCCTTCAGCTTTCATCCAGACCCTGAGACCTCTGACTGGGGTTTACACTATTTCAACCCTAGACCTTGGGGACCCTAGCTCCACACCCCATTCCACAGGGACCCAGGGATCCGTGTCCCATCTGTCAACCCCCAGCAATCCAAGTACCTAGGACCCTCACCCCTTCAGTTTTGTTTGTTTGTTTTTGGTGAGGCAATAGGGGTTAAGCAACTTGCTCAGGGTCACACAGCTGGTGTCAAGTGTCTGAGGCCAGATTCGAACTCAGGTCCTCCTGATTCCAAGGCCAGAGCTTTATCCACTGTGCCATCTAGCTGCCCCCATTCCTTCAGTTTGTAAAGAACCCGGAGGGTCTAGTCCCTCTAGTGTCTGACTTTCCAGCCTTTCCCCTCCCCACCAAACTGTCAAAGGGACATGGAGATTGAAGACCAGACTCCCTTCTACCAACCCAGCTTGGTGAGTCCCACATGACCTCACCTGCCTCCTCTTGCTCCCAGGCCCTAGCCCTGACCCCGCCCAGAACCCCAGAGTCAAGGGTCAGGCTGGGGATTTTGCTCTTAGGAAAAATACCTGCTGAAAGAAATGTGGCTATTGCATCAGGAGGCCAGGAAGGCCTCCCATGACTGGTCTGTATGCGGCCTTTGTCTGGGCATGGCCAGCAGGGGCCTAGGCTTGAGGCTCTGGACCTTGTGTCAGGCAGACCTTCCCCAGCACCCTACCCTGCCCTTCCCTATAAATGGGCTCCACCAACTGTAACTTATATTTTCTCCCTCCCTCCTCCCTTCTACCCCTAGCCAATAGGCGCCCTGGAGGAACCCAAGTATATACCATCTAATCTAGGCTCAGCTCCCTGGACCCCCAGGCCTAGCTCTTCCTGTACATCTGGGTTCCCACCTTCTCAGCGACCCAGGCATTCAGGCCTCCACCTTCCTGAGAAGCCGGGTATGCAGGCCCCTACCATTTCACGGACACAAATGAACAGGCTCATAACTTCTCAGGGACCCAGAGGTCTAGGCCCCTCCTTCCTAGAGATGGAAGATGTGCCCAGGCCCCCCCCCATTTCTTGGGGAACCCCAGTATCCAGGCCCCCATCTTTTCAAGGATCTTTGAATATAAGCCTCTACTTTCTCAGGTTCAGACATCTGGGCCCCCACCGTATTCCAGCTCCAGGCATTTTGCCCTTGATTTCTTGGGCCTCCCCAAACTTCTTGTGGACCTTGGTGTCTTGGCCCCTCTTCAGACACCTTGTGATTCTCGCCCCACTTTCACAGGGACTGCAACTTTCTGAGGGACTCCAGAATTGAAAGCATCTAAGGCCCCATTCTTAGGACCCCCAGTCTCCAAGGGACTCAGGTGTTTGTACCCCGACAATCCTCTCACATCACCAGGCATCCAAGCTCACAGCAGCATTCTCACTCTGCCCCCCCACCCCAGGTTGCATCATCCATGTGGGGTGGTGACTTCGCCACGGTGGAAGGGCCGCTGCCAGCCAAGTGGGTCATGTTTCATGACGGTAGCAGATGACCAGAGGTGGGCGGAGGGGCCTGGAGACAGGTATAAGCCCCTGTAGAGCGCCCGGAACAGCCACAGGAAATCCAGAGAGAGGAAGGGCAGGAAGCAGAGCCAGCCTCGACCCAGGAGGGCCAGGGGAATTAGACCTTCTGGAAGCCTGCCTCCCAGACTCCCATCCACTCCAGCCTTCCTGCAGCACACAGGCTGCTACTTCCCCAGAAGCCTCTGGGGAACCGAGAGCGCCAGACAGCAGAGCATCTGGGCCCACCGAGGCATTCCTCTCCGTCAGCCTCTTGACTGCTTGAAGGATGGGCCCAAGAAGGAGAGCCAGGGGCTGCCTGGCCCCTCTGCTTTCCCTGCTCCTGGCCTATAGGGGCTGGGGCTACCCTATTCCCGACTCCAGCCCCATGCTCCTGTTTGGGGGTCAGGTCCGCCTGCGCCACCTGTACACAGATGACGGCCAGGACACCGAGGCCCACGTGGAGATGGGGCCCGACGGCGCAGTGCGAGCAGCGGTGGAGAGGAGCCCCGACAGTGAGTGGGGGGTGGGGCTGCGCGCGGGGAAGGAGGCCATTCGCTGGGCTTGATGATGCTGGGTAGTGCTCCTGACTGCTCCCTCCCCCCAGGTCTTCTAGAGCTGAAGGCAGTGAAGCCTGGTGTTATCCGAATCCTGGCGGTCCACAGCTCTCGGTTTCTGTGCATGAGGCCCAGTGGCGAGCTGTACGGAGCGGTGAGGGCATCTCCACAGGCCAGAACCTGCCCTGGTTCCCCATCTCTGCTCCCACTTTGTCTTCCTCTCCATCGCGCCCCCAGTGCCCTGTGTGAATCCCATCTCTCGTCCCCCGGGGGTTCCCACCTCTTTCTAGCTTCAGCCCTTTTCTCAAGCACTTACTACACCCCAGGCACCGGGCTAGCATTGGGAATACAGAGACGAGGCCACCCTCACTCCTGAATCTGAGCCGACTTTCTAGGGGGTGGATTCCCAAAAGATCCCTAGGAATTTCTGGGGGTGACGGGAATGCCCAAGCTGGGCTTTGAGGGACGTTGTGGATTCTAGGATTCTAAGAGTGCATTCCAGGCCCAAGGGCTGCAGATGGAGCCTCATACCCAGGGAAAGGCCAGTGGGCCAGGGAGACTAGAGAGACAACGTTGGGGAATAATGTGAAATGTTTGGAAGCCCTGAAGACACACTGGGCCAGAGGAAGTTGTGAGGTTGAGGTCCTGGGAGTCACTCACTGAACACAGGGTGGACAGGGTCACACCTGCTTTGGGAGATTCATAGCTGTGGCTTGTTGGGGAGCGGTGGTGGCCGTGGAAGCTCACTGTCCGGTGCCTTCTCCCCCACTTTCCCCAATCATCCTTGCCCCTCCTAGGTCCTTATCAGCCTCAGTCCCCATGTCCTTGCCCTCTGTCTCATTCCATTTCAGCCCAGGTCTCCCCTACACTAAGTGTTCCCATGCAGTGGGGGCTGGGAAGGCTCACGGTGGGCATTGCCTCTGACTGACCCTAAGATGCCTCCTTGCCCCTACAGGTACAATATGACCCTTCTGCCTGCAACTTTCGGGAACATCTGCTGGGGGATGGCTATAATGTGTATGAATCGGAGGCTCATGGGCGGACCCTCCGTCTGTCCCCCCAGGCCTCTCTGGGCCAACCTGGCCCTTCCCGCTTCCTGCCACTTCCCGGTGCCCAGCTGCCTGGCACCGAGCCACCCTGGGGAGAGGGCCCCGAGCCCCCGGACGTGGGCTCGGCAGACCCACTGAGCATGGTGGGGGGTGCGCAGGGCCGCAGCCCCAGCTACTCCTCGTGAGCCCAGCCAGCCCCCACCCCACTTGGCTCAGGCAGGCCCTAGCCGCTATTTATTCTGAGGGCTGGGCACCTCAAGTCTTATTTATGCCTTTTCTAGCTCGTCTTCTGAGCAATAAAGCAGCAAGAACACCAGCACATGGTGTGGTGGCATCTTTTGGGGTGGGCAGTGGGAGCAGAGAGAGGCAAGATTCTGAACGGCCCCGAGCTCCGCCACCCTGAGGCCTTGTGGGAAAAGTGCAGCTTCTGTCAGTTCCCTGTGAGGTCAGGACTGGGGCCAAGGCAGGGGACACCTGGGTCCCTGCCGGAGAGGGGACTGCTCAGGGCCCAAGGCAAGATATCCCCTTGTCTTTGGTTCTTTATTTGGAAAATGCTGGGGAAAAAAAAAATCCACTGCAGCCTCAGATAGGAGTAGGGGGCTGGGGGATCGGAGGAGGGGCCTCTTCTGACATCATCCAGGCCCCCAGCTTTGCCCGCTGAAGCTGGTGAGGAACGGAGCGGGGCGCTACCTGAGGGTGAGGGAATGGGGCCAGATGCCTGGACGCTGGCCCATATGGCTTTGGGGGTCCCAGACCACCTGGCTGGAGAGCTATATTGCACTTGGACTCTTTGGCTGAGGTGGGGGGAGGGCAGTACAGAGAGCAGGTAGAGCCTGATCTGGACTCCGGTCACACAGGGAGCATCCACTCGTGACTGCCATCTCCATACTGGGGGAAAGGGAAGGGAGGAAGTGAGAGGCTGGTCAGAGCTCCCAGAAAGCCCTGGGGCTGAGGAGGAGGAGCTGCTGACTGGCCACCCCCCTGCACCCACAGCACCTACCTGGATGTCACACAATGTCTTATGGAATCTTAGGGTGAGGTTAGGCCCGTTCTCCATGGTGGGAATGTGGAGGTGCTGAAGAACGGAGAAGCAAGACTGAATAGAACCAGGGAGCCTGGCCTGCGCCCCAAACCCTTCTTCAAGTCAGTATTTTTTTTTCCCTTGCTTTTTGGTGAGACGGTGGGGGTTAAGTGACTTGCCTGGGGTCACACAGCTAGTAAGTGTCAAGTTTCTGAGGTGGGATTTGAACTCAGGACCTTCTTACTCCAGGGCCGGAGCTCTATCCACTGTGCCATCTAGCTGCCCCTGCCCCAAACCCTTCTTGCCAAGGCTCAGTGATTCTGGCAGTGCCACCTCCCCCCATCCCAGGGTCTTTGCACAGGGCCTGGTCGCCCCTGGTGGGAGGAGGGTCCCCAGGCTGGTCTCTGCTGCCCTTCTTACCTCACCCTGGTAGAGGATGCGATGCACTGGGCACATCTGGCATGCCGTGCCTGAGCCGAAGATCTCCAGCACGCGCTCCTCTCGAAGGGCCAGCAGCAGCTCCGACATGCTCACTGAGCGCTCGGACACTCGAAACTCCCCCTGCACGAAGCAGGGGGTCAGCCAGGGAGACAGAGATGCAGAGTGACAGAGACAGAGATTTACAGAGATACCAACTCAGAGATAAAGACCCACCCAGAGAGACAGCGCAGTCCTGCACTAGCACTCCCAGAGACACGGTCACTCAGGGAGATGACAGAGAAGGGCACCCCCCACAGTAAAGATGGGAAGCCACAGGGAGATGTGGAAACAGATGGCTACCCAAGGCCAGGCCAGCACGCCCATGCCCCACCACGATGGCCGGCCTAGGACCCATCCCACTCACCCACGTCCGGGCCAGGTCCAGCAGGCTCTGCCGAATCACCCCTGGGAGAATGATCCCGTCCAGTGGGGGGGTCACCAGCTCTAGCACTGGGATGGGGGGGGCAGGGATAGTCAGATCCCCTCAGAGACAACCCCAGGATCTCCTACCCCTCAGAGCTAGCAGGGAGCCTAGCAGCCTTTGGTTTGCTCTCTCCAGGCCTCCCCGGAGGCAACTCTGTCCACTATGGGCCAACTGTCTCCTCAGAAAGCTTTCCCCTTGGAGTGGGTAGGAAGGAGGGAAACATCAGAACTTAATAAAATAAAATAAATGCATGGAGCTGGGGCTTGGGGGGCACAGGCGGGGAAAGGGATGGCAGCTTTTTGACCACCGCTGGGGCCCTCTCTCTTCCTGAGGCCTGCTCTCCTGTCCTGTCCCCTCCAACCTCCCAGGTCTCCTAGGACATGTCTCGAGGCCCTTTCCCCCCTTCGGGCCCTGAGCTGAGCCTGGGAGCACAGGTGGGCTCTGTGGAGGCAGCAGCACCAGGGCCAGGAGGCTGATGGGCCCCCCACTCACCGCCATCTTTGTAGGTCCAGAAGATGAAGATGTTCATGGTCCCTATCTCAGTGAGCAGGTGGTCTGGGCCATAAAGCCACAAGACCTGCTCACAACCCTCTTGGTTGGCGGTCTGCTGCACGAACACCGTCGGCCCGTAATTCCTACCACGGTGGGGAGGCAGGCTCGGTGCCCACATTCGCAGGCCCGCCATCCCTCTCCCCACAATGCATGGACTCTCACAGTCCCCTTCCACACTGCTCCTCTTGTATCCCAGCATCCATCGTGCCTGGCCCAAGTAGGAAACACGCTCCCTTTCCCTGGGCCTTCCCACACTAAGCAGACCTGAGCTGGTAAACAATCTCCCGGCCCCAAGACCACTCTGTTCTCATTTGACAAGACCAACTGTGACCCAGAACCATAGAGGGGAGAGGACTGTAGGCTGGAGCTGATAGAAATCAGGGCTGAGGGCAAAGGTCAGAGGTTGGGGTCATTTTGCTCACCCTCCCTGCTTGCAGTCACCAACCCCGCCGATCCAGGCTCGGACAAAGCGGGGGTCGGCCAGTAGCGAGATGGGTGTTAAGGAGTCACCAGAGAAATAAGCGCCCACAGGACTTAGGATGACGTACAGCAGGGCTTTCATGGGAGGGTGGACACCCAGACTCGACTGAAGAATGGGGGGCTGTCAGAAACCCAGGTGCCCAGGCCCCAGCCTCCCCGTGCTCCCTCCCAGGCACACTACTCCCTTCTAGTGGTTGGGGTCACGCCGTGCTCCCGGCTGGGGAAGGGAAAGACCGGGCACCCCTTGCCCTGCCCTGTCCACAGAGCCACAAGCCTCCATTCTCCCAGCTCCTTCCCCCCTCGGGGAGCCAGGTGTCCAGACTGTCAGCCCCTCTTCTCCCTCCGAGGGGCAACCCTCCCTTCCCTCAGGGGGCACCTCATTGCCGATGAGTGTGGGCCGGATGTAGAGGCTAGCCTTCCTTTCATTCCCGCTAGGCACCCACTTCTCATCGATCTCCACCAGGCGGCGGATACATTCCAAAAGTTCTAGTTTGTCAAAGGCCTGCAGCAGAAGCAAGACCCCAAGACAGGAGCCTCAGGAGAGCCTCAGAGGCATCTGGCTCAATCCCCACTCATCTTACAGAGGGGGAGACTGAGGCTCAGAAAGGAAAGGAGAGTGGTCCATGGCCACACGGTGGAGAGCCTCAGATGTGGTGGCAGGGGAGCTTGGCCACCGCCCTGGCCCCACCCCGGGGTTCCCCTCCTGGGGGCTCTCTCTCACCGGCAGGCAGAGCCGTAAGGAGGAGCGTAACATGCGGTCCATGTTGAGCCAAGGCCGGAAGAGGCACACTCTCTGGTCCTTTCCTCGGAAAGCCTTCAGGCCTTCAAAGACCTGTGGGGGAAAGGCACTGCAGCCTGGCTCAGAGCACTGAGGCTCTGGGGCCGGCGTGTGCGCGCGCGCGTGTGTGTGTGTGTGTGTGTGTGTGTGTGTGTGTGTGTGTGTGTGTGTGAGAGAGAGAGAGAGAGAGAGAGAGACAGAGACAGAGAGAGACGGGGGAGAAGAGGGGGAGGGGGGAGAGAGAGGAGACAGAGAAGGGGGGGAAAGAGAGAGAGGAGACAGGAGAGAGAGAAGAGGGGGAGAGAGAGGGAGAGAGAGAGAGACAGAGAGAGACAGAGAGAGAAAGACAGAGATACAGAGAGACAGAGAGCAAGAGAGGAGACAGAAGAGAGAGACAGAGACAGAGAGAGAGACAGAGAATGTGGGGGAGGGCCAGGCGCTGCAGGCCCAGTGATGACCAAGGATTCACACAGGAGGGGGGAAGAGAGGCCCTGCACTGACAGCAGCAGTACCCTCCAGAGAGGAGGGAACAGGTGTTTAGTAAATGCCTGCTACGTGCCAGGCACCTTGATCCACACAACAGCCCTGCAGGGGAGGTGCTAAGATTGAGGAAACTGAGGCAGATGATGGTTAAGTGACTTGCCAGGATCACACAGCAAGTATGTTGTCAAGTGTCTGAGGCTGGATTTGAACTCAGGTCCTTCTGACTCCAAGGCTGGAACTCTATCCACTGCCCCTTTTGCCTTCAATCTTCCCCAACATCAAGGTCTTAGCCTATGAGTCCTTTCTTCTCATTATGTGGCCAAAGCATTGAAGCTTCTGGCCAGCTTAAATCTGCCTCTTTGGATTGAGTACATTACTCTGGCTGAGGCCTGATAGGGCAGGGCACTGTGAGATCATCACCACCCTAGTCCTGGAGGTTCTGCAGCCCTTCATGGACCCAAGATCCCATGGGCCTAAGCATAGGCTGACCAGATGCCTTCCTTGTGGTCTAGCCTATACAAATTCTCTGGATCACTGCTTCCTTCTGTAAATGTTCACTAGCCATCCCTCCAGTATAATGTCCTTGGCTTATAATTCACAAGTGCTATTAGTATCTTCTTGCAAAAATCAAGACTGGCAGCCTCCTCCAGTCCTGGGGTCCCTCTCTCCTGTTCTCCACAACCTTGCTGATGTCACTGAGGGGGCTAGGTGATCTGCACACTGATGTGGCTCATCCAGGAGGCGAGGTGCCTTGGCAGGCAGCAGAAAGATGGACTGTCAGTGAAAGGATCTGGGTCCACCTATTACCTGGATGACCTCGGTTGAATCACTTCCCTGCTTTGGGCCTCAATCCTCATTCATAAAATGAGGGAGTTCACCTGCATGGCCCTTAATAGCCCTTCTGGCACTAAGTGACGAACCTCCAACTTGAACTCAGCAAGAGCCAGAATCCTTTCTGATGGTCTTCAGGTCCAAGTCTTCAAAGAGAAAAGCCACCCAAAAGCAAGGAGGGTTGAGTAGCTCCCCTCAAAGGCCCGTTACCATCATTGCACCTCTCGGACCCTCCCTTTTCATCCATGTGGCTTTAAAAGCCCTTTTGGTGTGCCCTAGTCCCCTTCCACCATCTGGCCGGATGTGTTGTACTATCCAAGTCTTCCAGGGGCTCCCTGGAATACCTACACTATAGACCTCTTTGAACCCAACCCCCTTTCCTGAGCTAATTGCCCCTGCAGAATCCAAGGCCTTGGGGCCTCCACCCAGCTTTGCTCTGAATTTCTCAATATCCATTCCACCAAGCCCTAAGCTGCCTATCTGACCTGTCCTGGCTTTCCTCTGCTTCTCCATCACTCTTCCCTGGTCAGTCACTTCTTCGTGATGGCCCTTGTTCTGCCTGCAGCAGAGGGCTCCTCCCAGCAAGGCAGGTCAGGCCTTTCCCAGCTGCCCTGCCTTTGACAGATGCCCCCTGTGACTAATCTATCACGCTTCCAGCACTGGGCCGGGGACGGTTCTGGGACTCTTCAGCCACATCCTTCTTCTGCAGCTGACTGCAAACCCTTCCATTCTTCCCACCCCCCCGATCCTTGTTTGGCTGCACCTATGGGACCTTCCAGCTCCAAACGTGCAGCCTTGATTCTGACGCTTCTCACTGCTCCTGCTAGCGTCATCTCTGCCACCCCGAGTAGTGTTCACAAGTCTTGGGGGGCAGGGAGAAGTTCTCTACCACATGCTGGGCACCGGCCCCAGGAGGGCAATGGACTTCTGCATCATTATTCCCAGTTGTTTCTTGGGCAGGGAGGCACCTCCTCACGTTCCTTCTGGAAGCGTGAGCTCAGGGGTCCTCCTCTTCCACAGGGCCTCCATGGCTTTCCTAACAAAGCTGCCCTTCCATTTTCCTCAGAAAACTTGGAGAGTCGTGAGGTCTTCCTCAAGCCCCCTCACCCTTCTGCTAGGAGGGAGGCTGGTCTGCACTTTGACCTCAGACAGCAGTGGCTGGGCCGGGCCAGGGACAGGAATGCAGGTGACCCCTGCCTCCACCCTTGCTGGAGATGAGAGCCCCAGGCCTACAAGCCTTTGGTGGGGGGCGCGTAGGCAGCCAATCCTGCTGGTGTCTGCTCCAACAGATGACCACCCCACTTCCTGGGCCCATTCGGGACACTGGAGAGGTAAGGCTTGTCACCTGTTTATAGGCGGCTCCCTGCCTTCTGCCAGGGCGGCCTCCCACCAAAGCTGAGGAGGGGCAGATTCCAGCTCCCCACCCCCAGCACAAGCAACTTTAAAACCGACTCTCGGGTTTTATGGCTTCATGTCACCTTGTCCTCAGAAGACTTGTCACCACAGGGTGGCGGTAGATAGCCACTGCATTGAGAGCCAGAGCAAAGCCAACAGTGGGGAGACAGAGAGACATACGAGAGAGAGAGAGAGAGAGAAGAGAGGAGAGAGAGAGAGAGAGAGAGAGAGAGAGAGAGACAGAGACAGAGACAGAGAGAGACAGAGAGACAGAGAGACACACATACACACACAGAGACAGAGAAAGACACACACAGGAAAAAGACAGAGAGAGAGGAATGGAGGGGGGGAGAGAGACAGAGAAAGACAGCGACACAAAAATACACACAGAGACAGCCAGAAACAGAGAGGGATGGAGGGAGACACAGACACACACACAAAGAAAGGGACAGAGAGGATATGCAGATAGAGAGATGGAGGGAGGGAGGGATAGAGAGAGAAAGACAGACAAGGGCAGGATAAGAGGAAAGCACCAGCAGAGGCCACCAGCTGATGGGCATGGGGCAGGGCCCAGGGCCTTACTTCGATGCCGTAGTGAAGGGCCGAGCAGGCAGGGTGTAGCATGAGGCTCCCAAAGGGACGGATGCAAGGTGCACCCCATCCCTGTTTGCTACACCACTCCACGGTCAACATGTGGTCTGTGAACTGCTTCCCAAAGATCAGGGGTTCCCCGCTGCCTGGCTTCCTCTGCTGGGTCTGGCATAGCTCCACCTGCAATTCTGAGGCCTGGAGCCCCAGGACCCAGCTGTAAGCCCTTGGCTTGGACCTGCATCCCAGACCCCTCTCACAGAGCTAGTCCCTGCTGGCTGTGGAGGCCTCTGGGGATTGTAGAATGAAAGGCATCAGACACAGGACTCAGTGTCCATCCTCCTACAACCCTCAGAGGCTCAGGCCTCTGGACCACTGGCTCTGGGACCCCGCTTTCTGACCTCCAGCAAACCCCCACCCCCTGCCAAGGTCTCCAATCTCCTGACTTCCAGCACCACCCCCCTCAGAGTCCCAGTTTTCCTGACCTCCAGCCCTGGCTCCTGGTGGGCCCCACATTCTTTGGAGCTCAGTTGCCCAGTGTCTCCCCTGGGGCTCCTCACCTTGAAGATGCTGGCTGAGCATCTCTGGGAGGTCCAGAGCAGGCGAGGCAATGGACGCAGTTTTCTAGCCAAGATCTAACAAAATAATGACAATAGCTTATGTTGTGGGAAACAGAACTGCTAGGTAAGGAAGGGCAACAGCCCTTATTGTCCTGTTTGACAGATAGGGAAACTGAGGCTCTGCTGGGGGAGGGGCCCTGCCTCAAACAGTTCAAGTTTCTGAAGTGGGATTCAAAGCCCAGGCCTTCCTCTCTCAACTGTTTAGTTCAGGGAAATGCCAACTTCCCCTACAAATGGCCTCCCCATGAAAAAAGGCATGGAGGTCAAGGGGGTCCCTCCTGTGCCTACGAGGGGTGAGTGCTAAGGGCCCAGACATCTCCCAACCTAACCCTTTCATCTTAGAGAAGGAAAGTGGGGCCTGAAGAGGGTCTGGCCCTTGTCCTACAGAGCCTGTGGGCCTCCTGCTGGCACCCACACAGGCCAGCCAGGCCCTCCCCTGGAATCAGAGGTCAGTCCCAGACTCCTCCCCAGGGACTTTGCCCCCAACCCTTGTGCTGAGCTCAGAATGCTAGAGGCCCCAGGGACATGGCAGAGCAGGTGACCGAGCGTGGTAAGTGCTAGCCTACTGGGGGGCTATGAGAGGATCAAGGGACAATGCATTTTGGGGGGGTGTTGGGGAGGGGCCCCCACTCCTCCTGGGACCCTGGAGGTACTTTTATCCCTTTCGGGACCCTATGACCTCCCCTCCACCATCAGCTGACCACACCTAGCACCCATTCCCATAGGTTCCCCTGTATATTGGGGCTCCCAGATCCCACTCCCCAACCCCTCAGAAGGCCACGCACCCAGACATAGGCCCTTGACTATGAAACCATTCCCCAAGACCCAGCACCTGTCTAACTAGGAACTTAGGTTTCTGGGTCCTGAGCCTTCATAGCCTCAGGCCCAGGGATCTCTGGCATCCGGGCCCCTGGCACTAATCCCTTTGGGGACCAGGCCCCATGCCCAAGACTGGCCCACAGAAGAGGCAGAGGGAGGCAAGAAGGTGGGGTTAGGTCTGGTAAGGCTCTAGGGATCAGGCCCAGGCAGCTGACAGACTTCTACCCCAACAGAACCTTCCAAGAGGCAACCTGGAGCCCGTTCTGGAAGGAGGCAGAGAATGCCATGGTGGAAGAAATGGCCCCTCCCATCAGCCCCCAGGGGCAGCAGGCAGCTAGCTGCCCCTGGGGGCTGGACTGTGGGGAGTCCTTGGCTGGCTTTCCTAGGGGAGGCAAGATGAAGGTCAGTTCTGTCCTTCCAGCCCTGGCTTCCTTCTGAGGCTCCAGCGTCCAGGAAGGTTCCCTAGGAACCCCTCCCCACCAGGGGTGACCTCACAATGGACCCCCAATAGCTGGCTGGCAGGGAGAGGGAGAAGGGGACAGAGCGAGAGAGGGCAGGGGGCCTAGGTGGGGGGGTGGAGGGGGCAGGAGCCCCAAGTGCCGCCCCAGCCATGGCCACCTCGGACCCCGTGCGCCTGCTGCAGGAGGAAGTGACGTGTGCCGTGTGCTTAGACTACCTGCACGAGCCGGTCACCATCGACTGCGGCCACAATTTCTGCCGCGCCTGCATCACTCGCTGCTGGGACGAGATGGGCCGGCATTTCCCCTGCCCCCAGTGCCGGGCCCGCTCGCCCAAACGCAAGCTGCGGCCCAACTGCCAGCTGGCCAACATGGCCATGGCCGCCAAGCGCCTGCGGCCCAACACGGGCGAAGACTGGCTGCCAGGCCCAGGCACCAGCATGGGCAAAAGCCAGGAGGCCAGGGAGCCCGAGGAGGAGCTGGCCACATCTCTGGCTGAGGAAGAGGCCAAAGGGAGCCAGAATGAGCAGACGCCAAAGACCCCAGAGGACAAGTCCCGGGAAGCCCAGGATGGTGAGACCCAGACAGAGAGACCTCCCGATGCGGCCAGACACACAGAGGACAGGGAGCCAGAGACGGCTATGGCGAACAAGGCAGAGGGGCCAGTGAAAGCTCCAGACAGCAGGACACACAGAGAGGGCCAGGCCCAGGGGACAAGGCAGCCCCCTGAGGCAGCCACCGTGGAGGAGACCCCAGGGAGCGAGATGGAGAAGGCGGAGGGCACTCCTAGCGTCAAGGCAGGGAAGGGCCCCCAAGAACAGAAAGACATGGGCCAGGTCACAGGGGTGGGGAATAGTCTGGCAGCAAGCCCAGGGGACAGCAGCCAGTGGGCTAAGCCAAGGCCAGGGATGAGCCTGCCCCAGAGCCCCTGCCCCCAGCACCCAGGAGAGGACCTCTGGCTCTTCTGTCGTTGGGATGGGGCCACTCTGTGCCCTGCCTGCCACCACGAAAGAGCCCACCGGGGCCACGACCTGGTGGCACTGGACGAGGAGGGCCGAGCTACCCGGGCCCACCTCAGGGGTGTTCTGGGCAGACTGCGTGCCCAGAGGGAGGCCCTGGAGGATGCAGGGGCCCAGCAGGAGCGCCAAGTGGCCCTCTTAGATGAAGAGGCTGCCATCCGGCGCCGGCGTCTGGGGGATGAGTTTGAAGGTCTGCGCCACTTCCTGAGCAAGGCTGAGCAGGACCTGCTGAGCACCAGGCCCAAGCTGCCCGCCAAGCCCGGGGAGCCCGCCTCTCAGCCAATGCTCCTGGAGGCCTCGGCCTGGCTCCACCTGCCCAGCGCCCGCCTGCTAGGTGACAGGAGCGTCCAAGAGGGACTTCGAAAGCTGGAGGAGGAGGCTGGCAAGACCCTCGGGGCCAGGGTGATCCCTGGGGAGGCCCTGGGAGGGGCAGGCCGGGCTCAGGCCGTGCTAAAGGAGGCAGCCAGGGCCTTCCGAGAGCGGCTGTCAGGGGAACTGGACCGAGATGAGTCCCCGGTGCGCTTTGACAGCAACTCAGCTGCCGCAGGCCTAGAAGTATCAGAAGGCGGGAGGACAGTGAGGCTGGGGCCCCGGGCCAGCGCCCAGCAGGTTGACCTCTGCCCCTGTGTCCTGGGTGACAAAGCCTGGCGTGATGGTTCTCACTACTGGGAAGTAGATGTGAGCCGGTCAGGGGGCTGGGCCGTGGGCGTGGCCTGTGAGAGCAACCCCAGGCCCCAGCCCAACAAGGGGCTCTGGGCCCTGCAGCTTAGTCGAGGCCAGCTGTGGACCCCTGAAGTGACCCTGGCTATCTGGCAACAGCCCCGGCGTCTGGCCGTGTACCTGGAGGTGGAGGCGGGCCTGCTGGTCTTCTCCGATGCCCAGAGCGGTGCTCCCGTGCACAGCTACCAGGGGGCCCAATGGGGCCCAGAAGCCACTCTCAGGCCCTGCTTCTGGCTCTGGGACCTCGGAGGGAGTCTCCATCTGAGCCCCTGAGCCCAACATGCTGGGACACACAGTCCCAGATAAAGAAATGGAGACCACCAGCCTGGCCCTGTCTTTATTAGAGTGAGACAATGGCACAGACTCAGGGACCCTCATCCGCAGAGGCAAAGGAAGGGTTACTGGCCCCTTCAAGCAGCATTTATTCAGTACTTCCTGTGTGCCTGCCAGCTACTAATGCCCTAGGTTCCAAACCCAGGGCTCCCGCTAAGTCCCTGTGGTCTGGGACAAATCTTTGCCCATGGGGCCTCAGCTTCTTTCTCTTTTTGAAAGGAGATTGGCCTAGAAGGGCCTCTAGAGTCCCTTCTGGGTCTAAATTCTGTTCAAGAAAGAAGAAGAAACAGATAGCAGGAAAGTAGGGAAGAGGACATGGGATACAGCAATGAGAGAGATAGTGAGTCATGGTGAGACAGGGTGGAAGGAAAGGAGATCCATGGGGAGGAGGGACAGACTGAGCTGGAGGGGGAGACCTAGAGAGGGGGGGATTTGGGGAGAGAAATCAGGGGGCTAGGTATGGATCCAGGCTGAGAGAAGACACTGGGAGAGAAGGTGTCCTCTAGAAACTTAGCATTCTCTGGCCAGGGGCCAACTTAGCCAGCCCAGTCTAAAGCAAGCAGCTGAGAAAGAGGATGCAGATTTGGAGGTGGAAGTATTCCAGAATGGGGGAGATGGACAAAGTGTGGGAGAGGATGAGAGGACTGCAGGGGAACTGAGTGGGGAGGTGGAAGGGGGAGGGAGGAGGAAAATGGGGGAAACTGGGGGGGGGAGCAAGACTGGAGGAGGAAAAAAGCAAGATGAGCACCCACTCATGCACAGAGGATGGAGAAGGGCCAAGGAAGAGCACGGAGTCCTGGCTGTCCAGGTTCAGACTAGGGCTCTGGCCAGGCCTGGAGGGGGGCTCCTCCCATCACCAGGCCATAATGGTCGGTATCTGTCCTCAGGCAATGCCAAACTGACTGGGAATCAGTCCAAGGGTGGGGAGGGGCAGAGGACCTAGAAATAGCTGTAAGGAGGCTGGGAGGGGCCCAGGGCTGGAGCCTGAGGCACACTCTGAGGAGGCTGGAGACCTGGGACCATGGGGGGCTGCAGGGACTCTAGGAGGTGAGAAGGCTGGGGGAACATTAGGGCTGAGAGGAGGGCCAGAGACTCGATGAACCTGTTCACACCCTGGGCAGAAGTTGAGGAGGCAAAAGGTAGGCCTAATTCCTGCCTCAGGTGGGATCATTTCACAACAGCTAGACACAGGAACTCAACCAGGAAGGACCATCTTGAATAGCCCGGACGAGCCTGGGGCTGAAGGAGCTCCGCTTTGGGGGCATGCCTTTGCACACAAGGTTAAGGGACTTTAGGAAGGAGAAGCTGGAGCCCAGTGGGGCTGGGAGGGGGGCGGGAGGCCCGATGTCCTGGTCCTGGCACGGTGGGGAGGGCGGTGATGGCTAAAATGAAGCCCTTCTGGCCGGGCTTCCATGCCCCCAACCTGGCGTCCAGTACCAGAAAGAAGAACGAGGATGGAGAACGGGAGGCGGGCGAGGATGCCTTGCACGGGGCGCAGAGGGCGGTGGGGCCGGGAACTCGGAGTCCCTGGGTGTGAGCAGTGAAAGGGCTTCAGGGACTGGAAGGGGGATTAGGCAGAGCCGTCCCAGGGCGGGACTCACGCTGGACCGCGCTGCTGGCTGGAGGCGTCTGCGCTCGGGACGTCCCGGGGACGCCCTGCCGGGCCAGCTGCTCGGGGCCCCGGGCCCCCAAGCCGGGGACCAGGCGCCTGCAGCCTCTCCTGGCCCGGGATGGCAACAGGTGGGATTTAAGGGAGATAAGGGCCGCCCCGGCCCGCGTACCTCCGCTGGGGAAACAGGCACGTGGAGGAAGAGCGGCTGGAACAGCCGGCCAGGCGGGGGGCGCCGGGAAAAGGTGCCCAGAGCTGGTTGGGACTGAGCTGCCCGTCACGGATGGGCTGCCAGGGGAGTAGCCTGCCCGGGCACGGTCCCAGGGCTCCCGCGCCTCCCCGCCGGCCGGATGTACTGCCCGGAAGTGCCTCCCCCGTCCGGCCACGCTTCTCCATCACCCCCCAGTGCTCCCCGCGCGCCCCTGGAACCCACCTGGCCCAGGCCCACTGTTGCCATGGTCAGTGCCGCGGAGAAGTGGGGGCGCCCGCCCGGCCAGCGGCTTGGTCTGGTTCAGTTCTGCCCGCCCCCAGGGCCCGGGCCCCGCCCCCCGGGGCCCGGCCCCTTTACCCTGCCCCCAAGCCAGCCGCCGCCACCACCACCACCACCCACCATCCCCCGCGCTGGCCTGGAGCCCGCCTCGGCCGGCCAATCAGCGCGCTCCTCGCAGCCCCTGCCCCCCGGGGCCAGCACAAGTGCAGCTGTCCCCACGCTATCCACCACCTCCCTCAGGGCACCCGGGCGTGGCTCTCCGCAGCCCCTCCCCTTACTGGAGGGGACCCTGGCGTCCCCAGCCAGCCCCTCCACCTCCTAGAGGGGACCCCGGCGTCCCCTCAGCCCCTGCTCCCAGAGAAGCCTCCTGCTCCACTTTCTCTGCGGCCAGGGAGGGGCCGCCCTGCCTCCTTCATTAATCTCTCTAATTGGCAGTTAATTCTTCTCCTGGAGCCCGTTAGCCCGGCCCTCGCCCCAGGCCCACAGTGCTCTTCCCTGGCTCAGGAATCCTAGCCCCCCTCCGAGCCCATCGCGGGTGCGCCCCCCGCCCCAGGGGGCCACATTGGCCTGTAGTCCCCGGACCCCCACCCTCCACCCCCACCCCGTGGCGGGCTCGGCGGGGACCTGCATCCGTGGGCGCCTGGGGGCGGCGGAAATAAAATCTAAAGAGAAGAGCTTTCTGTTCCCAGTTTGTCAGTTTCCAGTTTATCGGACGGGAAGGAAGGGGCCGAGGCCAGAGGGGGCAGGGGTCGAGGAGCCGCGGCCGGAGGCCCCGGGGGTCGGCCCGTCACGTGAGGGGCACCTTGGGCCCATAGCCCAGCTCGGCGCCCCCAGTCAGGGGCAGCTCCACGCCGGTGCAGAAGGAAGCGTGGAAGGCCAGGAAGACCGCAGCAGCCCCGACCTCGTCCGGCCGGCCCATCCGTCCTAGGGGCTGAGGGGGACAGAGGTTGAATTCGGCCCAGGCTGGTCTCCAGGGGGTCTGCTCGGCCAAGCCCCGGTCCCCCGCCTGACCCCCCGGCCTACCTGCGCCTGCTCCCCTTCTCTGATTGTGGCACAGGGATCGGGGGTCTGGGAGGCCAGCTCCTTCCACATCGGGGTCCAGATGTTTCCTGGGGAGATACTGGGGGAGGGGCGAAGGTGGTCCAAGAAGGGGCCGCAGCAGGACATTAGCAAATGCTGATTGAAGGGAGAGGGCTGTGGACCCTCTTGCCACCCCCCCCCACCAGGCCCCTCGATTCAGGCTGCCCAGAACTCGGGTGTCCTGCTTCTCAGCCAATTTCCTCCAAGCCTTGGGCCTCCCAGCACACTCCCGCACCCCATTTTCCCTCCTTCCAGCCTCCCTATTTGGCTTTTCTCTCTTTATTTCCATCTCCCCAAACCTCCTATGATGCCCAGTCTCCCTATTTCCAAGCCCTCCACTTTCTTACTCCAAAGTCCCCAATCTCTGGCTAAAGTCACCCATCATCATACAACTTCTTCCCTTGGGCTCCCCAGTTTTAGGGCCCAAAGTGCTCTCAGTCCTCCTGCCCAGCCCCTAGCTGCCTGCTTCAATCTTCCTACTCCCACCAATCTCAGAACCCAGATGTGGATCTGTTCCCTCCTCCCCAGACTCCTTTTGCCCTTGTTCCTAGTGTTCAGTTAACAAAGCCCCTGGTTCCCAGCCTGAAGCCCCTCTACTCTACCTGCCTCTTCGGCCTACTCCCATTTCACCTTCCCCAGATCCCCTCCCATCCAGGCCCCCTCTTTGCTTTCACCCCACCGCCCACCTCAGCCACTCACCAGTTGACTCGGACACCATACTGACTCTCATCCAGGGCCAATGCCTTGGTCAGAGCTGTCACAGCCCCCTAGGGGATGGGAAAACCACTCAGTCTGGGCAGTCCTAGGAGATGGGCCTTGTCCTGCCCCTTGGCCTAGGGGCCACTTAGGCCAAGAAGGACCCATATGGCTCAGTAGAAGACTGGGTCTCAGGCCCAGCTGATTCAACCGGCCTCCTCTTGCCCCTCGAGACAGTGCAGACCAGCCCTTGCTAGGCACCTTGGTCAGGCTCAGCCAACACCTGAGGGATGGGAGAGGCTGTTTCTGTTTGGGCACCTGGTGTGAGTGGATGGGACACTGCCCCCTGCCAATGGCCAAGGCCAGAAAGGAAACTGTGCCATCCCTCCACCCCCATACCTTGGTGGCCACATAAGATGCGGCCCTTCTCTGCCCGATGGCCCCCACCAGGCTGGAGATGTTGATGATGCTGCCCTGACTCTGCCGAAGGAAGGGAAGAGCATTCTGTGGGGAGAAGGAAGAAGGCATGAGCCCTGGTGCCCCTGCTGCTGTCTGTGTGTCTGTCTCCAAGATCACAGACCGGCACAGCTGAGATTGAGCTGAACACACATTTCACAGATGGGGAAAAACCAACAGAGGCCAGCACCTGACTTGCCCCTCCTGCTGTAACCTGCCACCTCCTGCCCTCCCTCTGGCTCAGACTGGCCACTCCCAGTCTGACCTTTGCCTTCCCTTCTCAGGGTCTCCTTCCAGGCTCACAGCACACCCTTCCTCCCAGCCCTCTCTCACCTTTCCTGGAAACCTGGCAGTTGCCCAGCTCAGCTGCCGTGGGGCTGTCCCGGCCCATGCCCAGGTCCTCCCCCTGCAGTCGTTGGCTGCCTTACCCCAACCAGAAGCTGAGAGCAGTTAGCTACTTGCCAGGCCACATTCCCTCCTTCCTCAACGACCTTGGCACACGGTTCTTGGAGGCTTCCGTTCCACCCTGATGCCTGCCCTTACTTGGGAACTTCAGACCACACAGGGTGACATCCCCTCAAATAGCCCCTCCTAGCCACCTCAGCCATTCCTCCATTGGCCTGGTCTCTTGCCAGCCACCCTGGAGCTTTGTCCCCTACCTCATTTCCAAAAAACAGAATCCAATAGATCCTCTGTCATCACCAAAGCCTGGAATCCCTCCATTCTTCCCTACTTGGTCAGGCCTTCACCCTGCTCTGGCCTGCATCCCTCCCTTCAAGCTTGACCCCCGGGGAACCAGTTCAACTCTCCCCTCTTCTGAGCCTCAAATGCCAAGCCAAAGCCCAATCCCAGGTTACTCCCACTGGCTGCCTTCCCTTTGTCTCTTCAATGCTGAACTATTGGGATGTGATCTTCACTGGCCCTTCTGTGCTGCCTGTTAACCTCTTTGTTTGTCCCCCTGCCACCCCCACAGTGGGATTCCCTATGTCATACCCACAGCAGGTGTTCTACACCTCATCTTCCCTCCTGAACAAACTGATTTTTCCCTCTCCCCACATATCACCCCTCCAACTCTCTCTTTGACTTTTGTCTCTGAAGAAGAGTTAACCCTTCCTCGTCTCCAAGGTTCTCCTCTCCATCTCAAACCACTCCCATCATCTTCAATTTCTGCCTACCTACTGGTTCTTTCCAGTTGCTGACAAATGTGCCCAGGCCTCCTCTCTCCTTAAAAAGCCATTTACCCTACCATCCCCTCATATGATCGCCTTGTAGCTCTCCTCCTTTCCCAACCAAGCTCCTCGAAAAATCTCGCCTCTACTTCCTCACCTCCCACTCGCTTTCCAACTCCCATCAATCTGGCTTCCATCCTCTCCTGCTGCCTGAAATCTCCAAGCAGCAAAGAAAACACCACCTGTTCCCCTCGGGTCTTCATCTTCTTACCCAGAAGATCCTCCTCATCTTAAGCAACATTGTCTAGGGTTCTACTGGCATGCGCGCACACGCACACACACACACACACACACACACACACACACACACACACACGCGCGCACACACACACACACACACACACACACACACACACACACACACACACACACACACACACGAGCCCAAGATACCAACTTCCCTGCCATTGTTCTCATGTGCAGAGGTAGCTGACCCAGTAACAGAGAGCAAGGCCTTTTTCTGGATACCTTCCCCTGAGAACACCTCTGCCCCTGCTTCATCAGGCCTCAGAGAACCAGACAATGCTCTGTTCTTGGAACATCTGGCACCTTCCATCATGGGGCTCCAAGTGTTCTTCCTTTTCTGCTTCCTTTTAGCCCCCAACCTCCTGACCTAGGTGGGGGAGGGCATCTCTTTTGCTTTTAGTTTCCACATTAAGGAACTGTAAAGGACTGTTTCATTCTCACTGAAAGACATTTTCCTTTGGCTGTGATAAAAATTCAAACCTCACACTTCTTTATTCAGATCATGCATATTTCTCCCTGCTCTCCATGTCTCCTTAGTTCCTGCAAGGGTATGACCATCACTGTGTGGAGGTGAGGCAATGTGGAGGTCAGTTCATGGGGAATAAGTGAGCTGAAGAAAGAGGTTAAGATATTGAGGGTGTGTCCCCTAGAATTAGGGGAGGAGCTGGGGAGCAAAGAAGGACTGAGCTGAGCTCATTGAAGGAGGGAGGAAGGGAGGATTGGTAGTTAACAGCCAGCAGAATCTAGATTCTGCCGATAGATAGGAGGGACAGATATGGATTGATTGAACTTCAAAGGAGGATCAGATATTTCTGAGTAATTGTGATGAAGGAAGAGCCTGGAAGGGAAATCTGCTGTCTTTCTTACCAGTAACTTCCAGGAGTTACAATGGCCAACTGCTTGTGGAGATCTTTAATTCCAGGAGAAGGCCCTCTCCTCACCCCCTTCACACCTGGATACCTAACTTTCTTTTTAATCCTACCAACTTGTCTTATCTACCTTGTTGGACCAGAATCTTCAGCTGGAATCTATTTTCTCTTCCTTCTCAGGAGGCATTCTACTTAAGTCCTTCTCCTTAGTCCTTCTTTAGTCCCTCCACTTAACCTCATCCTTCCTGGTGATCCCACAGCCAACCCATTACCAGCCCTTTTCCATCTTAAATCCACCTGTTTTCCAGCTGTAGGTGACCTGACTCCATAGCTGATTATCTCTCTTTTCTAGCCCATATAGGACTGACCTGGCTACACTGAGCCTGGACATCCTTTCCTCATCTGTCCACTTCTAGCATCAGTACAGAGACAACCTTGTCTCCCCTTAGCTCACCAGTCTTTCCAGTACCCACAACTCTTCACTAATCTTATTTCTCCCAACCCCTTCAGTGTTAACCATGCTCAATCCCTCTGTCTGGATAGGCTGGTTCAGGAGTGGTTCCCCACTCAAAGCCTTATCCCATCATGGTTTCTAGCCTGGGGGCTGGCCCCAGTGGGTGTAGCCTAGCTGAGTTGAAGCTGGGCACACCCTTCTGGAGTACCCAGTGGACAGAAGGTTGAACCAGGCTGGGCTCAACCACTCTTCTCAGGTTCTGGGTTCCAACTCTCACATTTCCAGGGGAACATGGGGAGGTCTGGCACACAGAAGGAAAAGGGAGATGGGAGGCTTAATTAGAAAAAATTAGCTCCCCAACTTCACTATCAGATTCCTTCCCAATGAGGGGGCAGGGCAAGAGAACATAAGAGAGGAGTGTTTAAACAATAGATTCTCAAATAGGCAGGAGGAGGGTATGTCTGGAGACATCCCTTAGTTATTCCTTGAATGCCCATGACCGGATGGGTCAAGGAGCAAATAGGACCAGAGCAATTGGTTAAAGCAAAGAACATAACCATGATATAGTGGGTAACCTTACCTTCAGCCTC